AGTACACCAGAAAAGATCGAAAGTAACTTTGGACATTTGATCAAGCTTACAGAGGAAGATTTGAATGAAATTCAGGCTATTACTCTGGAGCATGATGTTAAAGGTTTGAGGTATAATGCCCATATGGAGAAGGATTTATTCCTTTAGATTATAATATTCACCTCATTACCGATTATGTATATGGGTTCTATTGAAAAAATAAATGTAAATTGTAAGGCACTTATTTATGTTGTACTTTTTTATTTTATAATTCATGTAGATGAGGATAAATTCAAATCTGACTAGGAAAATCGATAAAACGAATGAAACTTGTAAGGACTAACAAGTTCACACGAACAATGCTTGTCATCCAATGGCTGCTTTTAGATGAAGCTTCTTTTCCCTTTCTTGATTTATATTTTAAATATGTGTATATTAATTAAATAAGTTTTTAGAGGAGCATATTATCAAGCACATCAAGTGTGACTTCATTATCAAAAATGTTAGTGTTTCTATTAGATGGGTACATTTCGTTGTATGAGAAGGTGCCCTGTTGTGATGCTTCAGGTTTAGTAACAAGGTTTAACACTTGCGAGTTGTCCTGTTCATATATAGGAGATTGCGTATGTTGAGTCGAAAGTTGATTTGGAACAAATGGCTGCCCTGCACCGCCTTGTCCAACTTGAGGATACGCTTGAGAACCACCAAATATTCCATTCTGGAAATCTCCTTGGTTTCTCATCGCAATCATCAGGAGCCACATCTGATCAATATCTTCAGTAGGGAATGCTGGATTTTCATTTGCAGGCATGTTTCCATTATTTTGCAATATACCAGAAGAATTTTCCTTATTACTTTGGCCATATCCGCTGGTTTGATTAACATTTGAATTAGACATTGGAGGAGAAGCGGTGATTGATGATAAGCTAGTTGGTATCGAGTATGCAACTGGTGTATCTTGCAACTCCTCGAAATCAACAATTTGATCCAACCATTTTTTGGAATGATTCATCACTTTACTCAACTCTTGTAATTGCGGCGTGTTAAATTGGAAAGATCTCATTTTGCGTACATTATTTGGTAGCCCTTGATAAAACCTCTTGGTTGTCAAAATTTTGAATAAAACATCGTGTGCTTTGGAAATTCTCCAAGCGTAATAGTACTTCAGTGCTAGTTTTGCAAATGTGCTGGCATAGAGTCCACCACATTGAACAAATCCTTTGTATAGATTGTTCAACTCTTGAAAGTAAAGCTTATAGTTCACATCGGAGGTAAGTTTGCTTTCGTGATCCAGCAGAGCTTCCAAATTATAGACTAAATAGCCAACTCTAACCCCTGCAGCTATATTAACTTGATTTGCCTTGTGCATAGCTAATTGCAATATTGGGTTCAATGTTAGAGCGTTCTTGCTATGCTTACCACAGAGCACGTCAAAGGTCGCAGGTAAGATATAATACAAATTGATGTTCAACAACTTCTTAAGATAAAAGAATGAGAGTTCATAGTTTAGTTTATCTTCGTAGTAAAGGTACAAATGGTAAACTAGCGAAATTAAAGAACTTTTGAGAAACAAGAAAAGTTTCATTCTTACCGATGCATAAGTCTTCATCATAACTTCAGTTTGAATACCGATGTATGGTCCATCAAAGGTATCTTCGTTATTGGCCTGTTTCTCAAGTAAAGTGATTGCTTCAGTTAATTCTTGAACGCGGGTATTACCTCTAACATCTGATGTCATACTAACAACTCTGTTGATATCCTTGATCCTTGTAATGAACCATTTATAAATTTGAATTGTAGCCAATTCCAAGTCAATCTTGTTCACGTTCGCATTGCCTTCTTTATAGAATGGGGCCTTAGTATCATATTGCTTCATTGAAATTGTAGGCAGGTTACCAATACTTAGGTATGAAGTCAAATCCTCTCTCACAAGGAACCACCACATTTTCCTACCCAAATTATTCTGCCTTTCATCTCTGAAGATATCTGGAAAATTGTCCGGATCTCTATTCAATCCCAAACTCATCGCCATTTGAATAAGAATAGCAGTCAGGACTCTAGAATCTCCACCGTCATGACCATCTCCTTCTTCGGGTGCATATATGTGGTATAACCTCACAAATAATAAACATTGAAACACAGTCATATTTGTCTTTCTTGCAATGTCAAATCTATGAAGTGTATTTTTAACAACTTCAATGGCAGATAAGTTAATTGGATGTTTCATTAAGTAGTTCAAATATTCAGTTTCTGGTTGTGATTTTTCACCAGATGCGAGGTTAGTCTTCAAAATCTTCTCATTGATTGCATTTTTATTATTGAATAAAGATAAGTACGATAGCCTCAAGACAATCATAAGAATGCACAAATTTGCCAAGTCTAACTTATTTACTACCCTCACCGATTCTACTGGCGTATCCGCCATACTCTCAGGTCCTATAATTAAACTTATCTTTTGTTTGAAATCTTCTTCATCCAAAAAGGGCATGGTAGAGTATAAGTGGTTGAAAAAGTGATTCATAAGACTCCATGCTACTTTTTTCTTGGGTATAATAGCCTTAAATTGGGATACCACTTCTAATTCTGGATTAATCTTTCCTCGAAAGAGACTTTGACCAAGAGTAACTGTTGACTGACCCAATCTACTTTCATTATCAAATTTGAATTCTTTCTTGATGGTACTTGGTACTGAAGCATGCTCCAGAATAGAGTTATGCTTTTCGAGCGAACTCAAGGGAGCTAGTTCTTCGTAGCCATCTATTTCCAAAGCTCTTTTTCTGAAAGCAATATCGGGGTTTTCCAGTTTGCGATCTGCATTAAGGGCTTTAATATTTTCGTTGGTTACTTCGGTTGGTCCTGCAAAAAGCAAGCAAGGAAATTCAGTTTTTTCAGTTTGAGCATAAATCCACACCACTAACAACCAAGGATCTTTCTTCATGAATGAGGCCCATGAGAGGGGACCGTAGCTAACTCTGCGAAATGGTTCTTTAATATGGAAAGGTGCGTATCCTTCAAAGAAGTTAATGGTTTCATCTGGTGCGCCAGTTGGATTTATTTCATGCGTATCATCCTTACTAATGTACAGAGGGACCACCGGTTTTATTGTAGAGCTATTCTCGAAGGCAAGAGGATCCTCTGACGTAGCCTGTACTTCCACTCCCAGCCATTTTGAGTTGCTTGAAATACTTAGATTTTCCGACCCATTTTCATTTTCATTTTCTGCAGAATCAATGTAGGAGCTACTCGTATGTGAATGAGGCAGCTCTTTTCCCTTTTCAAATGACATTGGCTGCCATTTCGGCTCATAGCTACATTCGTAACCACATTTCATTTTCACACAAGACGAACAGGGTAGCCTTCGGTCGCATTTAATTTTTCTTCTTTTGCAATTGGAGCATACTAGTGATGGCTTATTTCTCTTTCTGGGTTGTGCTTGGCCATCCACAGCTCTTTTCCTTGCTGGAGATGTTTCCCCATGCGAGCCTATAGAAACAGGCGTCACGGGGCTGGCTAAATGAGGTCTTGTCATCTCAATCTAACGATGTGCTTTTTTTTATCACAGACAATTGGGGCCAATGGGAGCCAATGGGAGCCAAATATTTGGTATAAATGAATGAGGTAATTATCAAAATAACCTCGCTTTCGAAACCTATGTATTCGTATACTTGAATCACTCTAGTCTCGTAGCTCTAGTTTGTATTTACGCAGTTCAAGTACTAATTTGAGCTTTCTTTTATCGTGTATATGTTGCTCTTTCAACTTATATCGTGGAAGCCTTCCTGCAGTGGAAATTAAAAAATAAAATGAAATTGACAGAAGTCCAAACGCTCTTCACTGCTTTCCTGGAGAGTTACTGCAGTACACTTTTGAACTGCAACTTGATCAAGTTTGGTTGTTTTCTAATTCAGGGTAGATAATGAAAATTATTTTTTCTTTCCACTCTGAACCTTTATTTATAAAATCTTACTAATATCCTAAGTGAAGGAAAATGAAGTAACAGTAGCAGAGTACTGAAAAAAAAAAAAAAAGAAAGGTTACCCAGAAAACCAAGTCGGTGTCTATAGTAGGGTAAAATGTAGCGAGTAGAACAATCACTGAGAATTATTTTTTCAACATAGATCTACTTTACGTCTTTACAATACTTTTCTAGAAGGTCAAGTTGTAAGTGGAAAAAGAAAATATTAAATATCGACACAACAGAAGAGGCGGCTTTTGAGAGCGGAGATAATTTCAAACTCCACTAATTACGAAGAAAATGGTAGTGTTAGTTAGGAAAAAAAAGGGCTTTTTCCGCATGGGAGTTAATGAGGATGCTAAATATGCATGTTTATTTCTTTTTGGGACCGAATTTATGCAAGGCTGCTAGGCTGGAGGATTCTATGCAGTGCAGGTTATGCTGATCTCCATCATTTGAAGGATTTTTTTGCATGCATCGGATATCGGACCGAGCGCAGGGCAGTACGGCACCCAATGTGCCAAATTCAATACTTAGATGGAAAACATATTTAAGTAGGTGATCTACCATGGTATCAGCTTGAAGTCAGGACGAAGTAGTGTTGAGGACTTAAAGAAAAGAAGAAATTTGAAGAAGATTACTTTGTATAGTTTATTGAGCTAATATCATCCTAAATATAAATAGCAAATTCAATCAATATTATCGTGTTTAAAAATAGCACATCAAGATGATCCACATGCACACTGTCTCTCACGCTAACCTTACTAATACAGTCTGATTCAACATACAAGCACGCACATATTCTCTCTCCCTTGCTCTTGCTCACATTCTCTCACTGACTCACTAACTCACTCACTCACTAACTCACTAACTTCTTCACTTTCTCACTCTAGCTCACTAGTTTGATGGGTTCTTGGCGAATACTTGATCAAATGGTAAATCATTAAATATATCAAATCTGGCCATCTCTTCCAAATCGAAACCATGACGAACATCATAATTTTTACCAGTCGTTTTTGATGCTCCCTTATTACCATTCAATATGTTGTCGTTATTGCTCCTATTCTCTCCTCTGCCATTAACATTATTAGTGTTTACATAAGTATCATTCTTATTAGACGTTACTCCAGTATTCATCCAAGTCGAATTGCCAAAATTTCCTATTGGTTCATTGGAGTTGCCATTGTAGTTAGCAAATTGACTTGGTTCCTGCAGGGCCGCGGCATATGGATCCTGGTTCAAATTGTTATCATATTTCTTTGATATCATTTGGAACCAAAGCAGATCTATATCAGCATCGTTAACAAAATCCTTATCAAAATCAGGGACCTTATAATCTGATGTGGAAACCGGAGCCATTTTTCTCCTGATCTCTAATATAGATTCTGGCAAACTTAAACAAGGGCAGAAATCTGGTACTAATTCCTCCACATAATCAAATTTTTCAACTGATTTTTTCATTATAGTGATGAACAATTGAATTTGGTCAGGAGTATAAATAGGGAAACACAAGTTCCCAGCTTTGGAATAGTTCTCGTCATAAAATTTCACATCATTCACTGTTTTAAGTAAATAAGTATGACCTTTGGTGATTCTCCATGCGTAATAGTATCTGTTACTTAACTTTGAAATTGCAGAAATTGAAATTTCAACACTACGCTTGAGCAATCTTGAACACACACTTATGTCATTAATAATTTGGTGATAGTTGGCATCTGTATCGTACTTCTGCATATGATCTTTTTGACGAGAATAATGATAGAGTATGAAATTAACCCTAACAAGGAGTGCTATATTCAACTGATTTGCCTTGTGAATAAATTGCTCAAGAGTAGGATTAATGATCATATCACAAATATATTCCTTGTTTCCCAAAAGGTCGAAATAATGAGGCATAGTTTCACCAGTAGTAATGAGTAACATCTTTTTAAGGTAATAAAACGAAAGATCTTCAGACTTTGGTTCATAATATAAGTAGAAATGGAAGTATACCGTCATGAAAAAAGCATTTATGGATAAGTAGAACTTAGTCATGTAATTTCTCAAATAAATTTGAGGTTGGGTATCTGAAGCCAAAGGTTCGTCAAAGCAGTCCCTTACCGTTCCATGAAGACTAATCATATCGATTTCAAAAACTTCCAATTGCTGACATACCTCGGATACGTTGCAACCATCTTTAGCATTCAATAATTTATGCAAAATAGGAATAATGCTGTACATAGACCAACATTTTGCTAGTTGTTCCGTAACAATCTTATCAAAACTAGTATTGGGAATGTTAGATGCGTCTTTATCGAAGAATGGTAATTTCACGTCATAAAAACTCAAATCAATAGACAATGGATTTCCGAATGTAAAAGATTGGTGTATATCCATGATACAAAGAAAATGGAATATCTTTCTTCCAAGATGATTTATCTTAGGGTTATTGCAAACGTCGGGAAAATTATCGGGTTCCCTATGTAATCCTAAACTATAAGCCATCTGAATTAACATAGCTCCGAAAACCTGAGAATCGCCTCCATCAGCTCCATCACCATCCTCGGGAGCATAAGTGTGATATATTCTTAAGAAAATTGCAAGCTGTAATACGGTCATACTAGTGCTTCTAAAAATTTGAAATTGGTCTAGGCATAGCTGTGCTACTTCGACAACATCAATGTTGATCGGGTTTGAATATAAATATTTCATATCTTCTGCCTTGATTGAAGAATCATCTGCAAACAATTTTTCCGAATTAATAGACAGTTTGTTAGAGAAGAGTGAAAGGTAAGCAAGTCTTAAGACAACTAAAAGAATGCCCACATATCCTAAATCCAATCTTTTTTCTATTCTTATAAACCCAGAGTTAACATCTTCATAGCTTCTGGGTCCCAAAATTTCATGAATATTCTGCATAAAACAATCATGATCTAAAAAGGGCATGAAGGGGTACAACCAAGTAAAATATCTATCCAACAACTTCCAAATAACCCTCTTTTTTGGAAGTATAAGTTGTATTTTATCAATAAGCGCTAATTCTCTACCCAATTTCCCACCTTTTGTAGTCAAACCAAGTTGTAGTAATGAAGTTGTTCGCGCAGCTGCTGCAGTTGTTTCTCCCATGTTCTTACTTGTTTTTGAACCTTTTTGTTTATCTTCCTCTGCTTCCTGCTTTTCCTTTTGTAATTTTAATAGACTGTTATATGGTAGAACGTCACCTAATCCATCTGGCTCCAATGCACGCCTATGGAATGCATTTTCAACATCATTTGGGCCCTCTTCTTTGCTTTCACCTACCAATACGTCAGTGTTTACTTGCGTGATCTCTGAAGTCTGCTCTGCGAAAACAAATGTTGCATTACTCTCTTTGGAACTCTCTTTCTTCTTTATCATGTAGTCCCAAAGCATTCTCAATCCATTGTCACGCTTCATAAGTGAAGACCAAGCAAAAGGACCATAGGTAATACGACGAAATGGATCTTTTACGTGAATTGATGTGTAGTTCTCGAAAAGATTAATCCTTTCATCAGTGTTGAGGTACGGATTGATACCCTTGATTTTACTCAATTCCGTTGCTAAACAAAGATCCTGAAGGTTATATTTTTGTCCATTCCCATTTGGTGTGTCAGCCTCTTTTAGAATAAATGGCGATCCCACCGAGGAAGCTGAAGTAGCTGAAGACGCAGAGTTGCTGTCTTTCGGAATAGATGCAGAATATGAAGAAGAGCTCAGATACAGACCATTCTTTGAGTTTGGAAGCATTATAGGTGGAGGTTGAGCCTGATGCGGTGGTAGTTGGGGCTGAGGTCGTTGTTGCTGTTGTTGCTGTTGTTGTTGTTGTTCTTGAAGTTGCTCTTGAAGTTGCTGCTGCTGGCGCCACCTTAAGGGGGGCAATTGAATATTCACGTTATATGGAGTACTTGGAATGTCATGAGGTGATGGGAAAGTATTAGAGGAGCTCGGAGTGATTCCACTAACACTCATTCTTCTGCTATCGCCTTGCAACATCGTTGGAGGAGGAGATCCACCTATATTTAAGCTCCTTTGTGAATACTGTTGAGGAGGTTGCCCAATATAGTTCATACCACCATTAGTTCCCGCCAGAAAGTTGTAGAAGTTTTGGGGAATTCTTGCAGTGTTTACTTGGGGTTGTACAGCCTCCAATTCTGATGGACTGGTCGATTTTGAATCTGCTTCTGAAGAAGAACCTTTACTTTTAGATAAGGTTTCTTCAATCTGCATCAACCTCTCTTTCAAGAATTGAAGTTCAGATTTGGCTACGACAACGGATTCACTCAGGTGCTTGGCTGATGATTTCTTCGGTGGATCCTTCTGAGTCTTTCCGATCTTTATCTCAATAGGGTTTTTGGCACTTTGAAGATACGGCTTATCAACCCTGAAACGCTCGTAGTCATTTCTAGTGGCATCCAGGGACGTGTAGGAGCAAGTATCTGCTAGCTTTGATTTCACACATTGCGAACATGGATTACCTTTATCACATTTGATCTTTTTGGATTTACAGTGGCAGCATACAAGACTAGGTCTCTTTCTTCTACTTTTAATTTGGGTAGACATCGTTTATCTGGCTGGATATGCTTGGTATAGTAGATACGTAGGAAAAGAACGATAAAAGCAACTGGAGGGCAAGAAGAGATGATGGATTATCACTCTTGATATCCGGACTTAATTTTTGCTTATTAAGTTTTTAGTCGGATATGCCCAATGGGGAATTACCACCGTTTCGGCCGAAATTTCTATTCGAAGTCGCAATTACATCACATGTTCCGTGACTTTACCTAGAGAAGAAGAGAAAGAAGAGGAAGAAGACACTGAGGCCGTATAATTTTCTGATAAAAAACTTCCTGTAGCAGTTCTTTAGTCGACACTTGTGTGCTGCCAAATAAAAAGATGGAAATTCTTGAAATTTCAGAAAAGATTGGTATGCTTGTTCAGACGCTTGTTTGAATGGATGCAATGAGGGTTCTTGGTACACCCACCCATTCCTATTGACTAAGAAGAGAACGAAAAATTAGCCATAAAGACTCATGTACCTGTATAATTTGTAGCCTGTATAATCAGTGTCTGTAGTCCTGGTAGCATTCTTGTTTGATATCATCCTGCCTCTAGGCTACTTGGTGAAAAGGAAGCTCCTTGCCAATATTATATTTCGTCCTTGTAATTTGAGAACTAAGTGTAAAATCTGCACCTGGAGATAAAAATCAAAGTCTATCATAAATATCACCGGAGCAGGTTGATTAATCTTGTAGGAGATCAAAACATACAAAAATTGTAAAATTGTTTGAATAGATAACCATTTTAACCATATTCTCTTTAAGCGCTATATAGAGCGTGAGTAGGTTAATCCGTGTGTTACGCCTTAGTTAAGAACTTCACTCTCCATTTTTACCTACACTTTAATAGTTTCTTATTATATTCTCATATTCAGTTTATATCCATATGTTTTACTCTTTCTATATATTATTTGTCTGGAATACCTTATCCAAAGGTAAATCACTAAAAAAATTGAAATGTGTTGAGTCTTCAATATTCAAGTTAGCCTTGGGGTCAGTTAATGAATTGTGAATGTTGAACGTGTGATTGTGATTGCTGAAACTAGGTATACTATTTCCAGCGCCATTTTGCTGCCCACCTATTTTAATAGGTTCCTGGCTATAGTTGAAACTGCTACTATTGCTATTGCTATCGTTACTATTATTATTTGTGCTTGCATTGCTGTTAGCATGAAGCGCCAAATCGTATTTGGTAGTATCAGTCATGGTAGAACTTTCCCTAGTAACGACATTGTTGTCGGTCTTTGAAGTAAGCATTTGCAACCAAACCGAGTCAATTTCTGCACTATTACTAAAATATAAGTCTTCAAACTCACTAGCAATGACGTTCGAATAAGAACGTATGAAAGAAGGAGTCTCCGGCACAGGAGAGTAAGCAACGTGTGTGGGATTTTCCCAGTGTTTGTTTAAGTTAAACAGTTTATTATGTGCTGTTAATGCTGGCGGAATCGTATTTGATGCTAATAAACTTGCAGCTTGTTCACCAGTCTTTTGAGTATCCTTACGTACTTCATGTGCCTTTTTCCTGAAAACGTTTTCGATTTTCTCATCGTTGCAGTGTTCTTTTACAATCTTCTCAGCCAATTCTAACGGAGGGCCATACATCAGTATTAATTCTTCAGTTTGAGCCAACGTCAATCTAGATGGATTACGTCTGTCTGCTTCGACATAGAATTCTTCATTAGTGACAATCTTATATATAAACGTTTGACTTCTTGCAGCCCCCCATGCATAATAATACCTGTCACTGAGCACAGTCAATGCAGCTATGCACACTCTTGCACATTTTTCCATGTATTCTTCTAAAAGACAGTAGCTCTCAAAGAAATTCCTGTACTCTTCACTTGATCTCAACTTCAGTTGGTGGTTTGGTTCTGTTTTCATAGCATAAATAACAAAATTTGTTCTAACAATAGCTGCAATATTCACTTCGCTAGTTCTATGAAGCATTTGAAGGAATATTGGATTAATAAAGATATCAACCCCATCTTCAAAAAAATCATAAATACCATATATAATAGGAAATAAGTATGGAATAATCTCACAAATCGAAATTGTCAACATCTTCTTCAAATAGAAGAACATCAATACCAGATGATTCTTTTCTTCATAATGTAAGAAGAAGTGATAAAATAAAGAAAGGTAGAAACTCTTTAATGAAAGAGAAATTTTAAGCCTGTTGGCTTTTGCAAACCTGAATCCCATATCTTTATCTTCCAAATATGTTATATAGTCTCCCGTTCTCCCAAAAGCATTGAAAGTACATATTTCCATAAAATTTACATGTTTAGTAAGCTCTGACATTTTCACCTTTTTCTTAACATCAAGTGCTAGTTTAAGGATATACTGCATCGGACCTCTCAACAATGGACCACAATTGGCATTAAAATCAATTGAAGCTTTTTCCAATTCCAAATCTATTACATTCTCATTAACACCTGGCATTATAAAAGGCACTTTAGAATCATAAAACTTTTCACTTGTAGCCATAGGAGTACCAAATGTATAGGAATCAACAAAATCATGCACCAAAATGTGATGCCAAATTTTCCTTCCAAGCAGGTTTACTCTTTCATCTTTCAATGTGTCATCATTAAAATTTCCTGGCTCCCTATGAATCCCTATGGAATATGCCATTTGTACCAACAATCCGTTAAATACCAAGGAGTCTCCTCCATCTGCTCCATCACCTTCTTCTGGGGCATAAATATGGTACAATCTGAGATAGAAAGTAGCCTGGAATACCGTAAAATTGAACTTCCTCATGATTTGAAATTGATTAATACATGACTTTGCAACATCAATAACATTAGTATCAATAGGATTTGCAAGTAAGTATTCACAGTTTTGAGATAAGGAAGGCTCCACTCTGAATTTTGAATGCTTAGACTCAATTGAAAGATATGAAAAGCGAAGGAAAACCAAAAGCATCCCTAAGTAAGCAAAATCTAGCCTCTTGCTGATATTCAATTGGAGAATTTTCCGATCCTTGTAATCTTCTGGACCCAATATCCTATTCATTTCACCACGAAAGTCTCTTTCATCAATGTAAGGCAAATATGGATATATAAATGAAAAAAAACGATGAATCAACAACCACAAAACACGCTGCTTTGGTAATATAGATTCGATCTTTGATATAAGCTTAAGTTCGTTGTCAAGCAGACCATCATGGATTCCCAGGAGTATCGTTGTATCTGACACCTTCAATTGAGGTTTACGCACTAGAGAGGGCCCTTTTCTCTTCTTGTTGTTAGAGAAAGAGGAATATGCACTAAATGAGCTTGAAGAAGACGATGTGTCATACGGAACATGCCCATCGGGTAAGGTAAAGTCTGACTTTGTTGTGAGCAACGTTTCTGAGACACTTTTTATTCTTGCATTTTCTTCGTACGGCATCAAATCAACCACCCCATCACTTTCCAATTCTTTCTTTTGGAATTTTGCTCTATTTTCGTTGTTTTCAATTTCATCAGGTAAGTCTTTCAGCTTGACATTTCCTTCCTTTCCCTGCTTCTGCTGCTTCTGCATAAACTTCTTTAGCGTAGCCAAAAGCTTATCTTTCCTCAGGATAGCAGCCCAAGAAAATGGTCCATAGTTTGTTCTTCTAGAAGGCTCACTAAGGAAAACTGAGGTGTAATTATCATAAAAATTGATGTAATCATCATTGGATGAATAAGGATTAACTCCCATTATGTACGCAGGCGAGACCAACTCGTCTTCTCCTAAGTCTGAAGGTTGCAATGTGGTAGGTGACGTGCTAGTGGAATCCTGCGTCATTTCAGTTGAAGATTTATATGAGAATGAAGGCGATGCAATATCCACAGATTCTGGGGAAATGGGAGGTTGTATACCTTGAATAAACCTACAGACTGCCTGCAACTGCTCAGGAATAGCTTCACGAAGTTTCGGATCAAACACATACTGATTCAAAACGAGAGTTCTTGAATTCTTATCTACATTTATATTCATTTGCCTATACGTGACCTCAAATAAATCATTGGACTCAGGATCTTCAGGTGTTTTAGAAAGATTAGCAAATTCACCTGTAGATTTTGAAGTCTCTTTCTGTAGACCTTGTTCAAGTTTGTGAAGTCTCTCCTTAAGTGCATTCAATTCTGCAACACTAACCAACACCATTGGATCTTTATTTGTAGCGCTACCTGTCACTCCATTCTTGTCTACAGAACCAGGATAGCTCATAGGGGTTACAGGTTTTACATTAGTCATACCATCTTTGGTCGGAGTACTTTTTATACTTGAAGCTGCAACTTTATCTGTCTTGGAAACCTTTGAGCTTCCCTTCTTCTTCTCTCCAATAAAAGTTGGCCCGTACGAACATTTATGAGGGAAATTATTTTTAGTACAAGAACCACAAGGTCTTCCCTTATCACATTTGACTTTTCGTCTCTTACAAGGTTCGCATACGAGACTTGGACGATTACGTTTTCTTATTGGGAGATAGTCTTCCATTGCTTACTAAATGTCTGTTATATAATAACGTTGCCCTTAAGACACAACGAATACATAAATATACTTAGATGCTTTCGTTTATCACGATTTTGCAGTGTTCTCGTCTTTCCCTGAATATCAGCCTCTAATTTTCAAGGCAATGTTAAGGTGTTACTAAATACTATTAAGCAAGAATATATTCTCTTACACAATTTAAACTTTTCAGTTCACATATAGTCGGATGTAATGGTATGTTTTCTTCAGTTTTGTGTAACCTCACGGCTTTTATTCCATATTGGGAACATGATCTTGCATTTTTTTCCAAGATACGAGCGATGTTCCAAGCGAAGTCACACGAAGAAAACGGTTAGATATGAGGAACAGGGAAGGGGATCAGAGCGGGAGTCATGTAATGGTGTAAGTGCTGATAAGAGGTATAGGTACATAGTTCATAGGTCATAGTTATCATTTTATTAGAAATTAATTCAAGCTCCCTTGAAAACTGGGTGCCATCAAATTGAAGCTGCAACGTTGAATGACATTGTTACACACAATGTGTAGAAATAAAGATGAACTTGACACACGGTATTAATTCTCTTTAATTACCATCTTTCTCTTATCGTAATTAAAAGTAAAACAGCTAGACTTGAATACCTTACTTGCTAACTGTTTTCGCGAAAGATCATGTCCAATGGTAAATCACTAAAAAAGTTGAAGTGAGTGGAGTCTTCAAAGCTGAAATTCAGTTTCAGGTCCAGAAACAAACTCTTGACATTAATGGGCTCGCTCTGATCCCTAGACCAAACATCCCCTATTAGGCTATCCTCTCCATTTAATTTACTTTCAGCTTGACTGTAGTCGAAAGTTCCGTCATTTTTAATTTTACTGTCACTTGGAGTAGCTCCAAAGCTGTTCCCAAGCAGTGCCGCAGTATTCTTAGTTATATCATTTCCCATTATATTATCTAATCTGTGAATGTTATCATTCTTAGATGTGAGCATTTGCAACCACGCTGAGTCAACTTCTGCACTATTACTAAAATGTAGATCTTCAAATTCACTAGCAATAACATTGGAATATGAGGGTAGGAAAGAAGAAGGAGTCTCTGGAACAGGAGAATAAGCATTACGCGGAGTGTTTTCCCAGTTCTTGTTGAAGTTAAATGATTTATTCTGCGCCGAAATTCCTGGAGGTATTACGGTTGTCCGATCCCCACTCTGTTCTCTCGTAGTAGCAGTCTGATAATTAATATTATTCTGAGTTTCTCTTGTCTCTCCTGTAGCCTTCTTTGTAAAAACATTCGAGACCCTATCTATATCTTGACAATGTTCCCTAATAATTTTCTCTGCTAATTCCAACGGTGGGCCATATAATTGAATCAATTCTTCAACTTGATTCATAGTCAATTTTGTAGTATAACAATCATATTTACTTGCAGATTGGACAAAAAATTCTTCACTTGTAACAATCTTGTAAATAAATGATTGGCTTCTTGCTGCTCCCCATGCGTAATAGTACTTGCTACTGAGCTCGGTAAGAGCAGCAATACACAACCTTGCGCACTTTTCCATATGCTCTATAAGCACAAGAAGTCTTTCGAAATAATGTTTGTATTCTTTATCAACTTTTAAATTCAACTCATGATTTGGGTGCGTCTTCAACTCAAAAAGAACAAAATTAGCTCTCACAATAGCCGCAATATTAATTTCACTGGTTCTGTGAAGCATATGAAGGAACTTCGGATTAATGAATAAATCCACCCCATCTTCAAAGAAATCATAAGTCCCATAAATAATAGGATATAAAAAAGGGATATTTTCACAGATCGCAATTGTCAATATCTTCTTTAAATAGAAAAACATCAACGTCAGATGTTTCTTTTCTTCATAATATAAGAGAAAATGATAAAAAAATGAAAGGTAGAATGCTTTTAATGAAAGAGCAATTATAAGCCGCTGAGCTTTTGACAGGCGGAATCCAATATCTTTATCCTCCAAGAACGTGATATAGTCTCCTAACTTACCAAATGCGTTAAAAGTGCCAATCTCCAAGAAGTTCAATTGCTTAGTTAATTCTGACATTTTGACTTTCTTTTTAACGTTCAATGCAAGTCTGAGAAGATTTCTCATTGGCCCTCTAAGCAAAGCATCGCAGTTGCCATAATATTGGACCGTAGATTTCTCAAGCTCAGTATCCATCACATTCTCGTTCACACCGGGAATTATCTTTGGCAATTTAGCATCATAAAATATTTCATTTGTAGCCATAGGAGTACCATATGTATAAGAGTTGACAAAATCTTGCACCAAAATATGATACCAAATTTTCCTTCCAAGCAGGTTTACTCTTTCGTCTTTTAATGTGTCATCATTAAAATTTCCTGGCTCCCTATGAATCCCAATGGAATATGCCATCTGTACCAACAATCCGTTAAATACCAAGGAGTCTCCTCCATCTGCTCCATCACCTTCTTCAGGGGCAAAAATATGGTACATTCTGAGATAAAAAGTAGCCTGGAATACCGTAAAGTTGAACTTCCTCATGATTTGAAATTGATTAATACATGACTTAGCAACATCAATAACACTAGTATCAATAGGATTTGCAAGTAAGTATTCACAATTTTGAGACAAGGAAGGCTCCACTCTGAATTTTGAATGCTTAGACTCAATTGAAAGATATGAAAAGCGAAGGAAAATTAAAAGCATCCCCAAGTACGCAAAATCTAACCGCTTGTTGATATTCAAGTGGAGAATTTTCCGATCTTTGTAATCTTCTGGACCCAATATCCTATTCATTTCACCACGAAAGTCTCTTTCGTCAATGTAAGGCAAAAATGTATATATAAAGGAGAAAAAGCGGTGAATCAACAACCACAAAACACGCTGCTTTGGTAATATAGATTCGATCTTTGATATAAGCTTAAGTTCGTTGTCAAGCAGACCATCATGGATTCCCAGGACTATCGTAGTATCTGACACCTTCAATTGCGGTTTACAATCTAGAGAGGGCCATTTCCTGCTACTTGATCTATCCACAGAAGAAACTGCACTGGAAGAAGGTGAAGGTCTGAAATTAGTTTGATCTCTTGGTGAATATGAGCTAAACTTTGCATGCAGTGTCCGATCTTTGTCAGGCAAAGAATCTGACTCTCGGCCATATGGCATTAAATCAACTACTCCATCACTTTCCAATTCTTTCTTTTCAAAGCTGGCTCTGTTCTCGTTCTCGTTCTCGTTCTCGTCCGCGGTAGTATCCTTCTGTTTATCTTTCCCTACCTGCTGTTGTTCTTGCATGAACTTCTTTAGAAGTGACAAGAGTTTATCTTTTCTCAGTATTGTAGCCCATGAAAGTGGTCCATAGTTTGTTCTTCGTGAAGGCTCATTAAGAAACACCGAGTTATAGTTTTCATAAAAATTAATATCGTCATCATTAGACGAGTATGGATTAACCCCAATCATATAAGCCGCAGATCCTACGTCTCCATCCTTTGAATATGACTCGTGCGTGGAAGTAGGAGTTATATCACCAGCGGAATCTTTCGCAGAGCTTGGTGATTTACTATGCACGGAATCAGGAGACAAGGGTCCTCGAATAGATGGTAAATATCTCCATATATGATCTGTTGAGTCAAACAGACCATCACGGATACTTGGATTGAGTACATACTGGTTTAAAACAGTTGTTCTCGAATTCCTATCTACTCTGATATCTACTTCTTTGTAGAAGGTCTGAAAAAAGTCGTCAGAATTATCTTGGTCAACAGGAGTGAAAGAAATTTTGGGATCAAGTTCATTTTTTGTCTGAGAAAGTCCTTTGTGAAGATCTTGTTCAAGATTATGTAGTCTTTGCTTAAGTCCATTCAATTCTCCAATGCTTACCAACACCATCTGTTCCTTGCTACTAACACTGTCCACAGGTGTATAAAAGTTTGGATTGGAGTGAGTCGCAGAAGGTATGCTTCCACTGTTATTAGCAGCGGCATCTGGAGCTGTTATTCCTCTACCACGGGGCGTTGCACCGTCGTCAGATTTTGCAACTTTTGAGCTTACATTAGCTTTCCTTGTAGTTGGACTGTAAGTACATTTGTGGGGTATATTATTTTTAGTACAAGATTCACAAGGTCTACCCTTATCGCACTTTATTTTCCGTCTTTTACAGGGTTCACAGACAAGGCTTGGTCGATTTCTCTTCTTTATTGGCAAAAAATCCATTTCGTACCACGAATATCTATATCAAGGCAGCCTTTATCATAGATTTATTTTTGCTATAAAATTACTCGGAAGTCTTGATGTATTTCTGTTATTCGTATTGACTTCCTTACCGTTAATCTATCTTCGAAGCTCTTTTATGGCGAACTACTTTAGCAAGAGAGCTAATTTCAATAAGGTATTTACCTCAGTGAGAAGGTCAGGTTTGTTTAACGAAACGATTGCACTCTGAATGCAGTGAGAACTTTGGTTGCACTTTGCTGTGTTAAATTAATTTGACCACCACAAACGCCACTTTACTGGAACCTCCGGAGTGAGATGATTCAATATCTACTGTCCTTAGATGGAAAAGTGTAATATGGCTTAGAAATTGCAGGATAGCTTTTATCCAGAAAACTCAATAAAAAGAACTACGTTGTTGTTTTTTGTTTTCGCTTTTCTGAACTTAGTTGCGTGAGATGAAAAGATGGAATTGTGAGAGCAAAGGGCTCCATGATGAATTATTGTGAAACGTCAAAAGCCGTTGAAAAAAAATAATCTGAAAGCGTTAAATTTCTTAGTATTTTAAATAGATAGTTTTATTTTTATATATGGAGTTAATATATGAATATATGAGTATACTAATATATATATATCTATATCTATTACTTCCAGTCAATTACTATACAAATCAAAATCTTATTGCAGTACATATCTATAATTAGTTTTCACATCCTGCTTTTCATTTCCAATTTTCATTTCCTTTCTTAAATTTTTAAAATTTTTTTTTTTATTTTTCAAAATGTTCCATACTCTTGAGCACTTTCACCAGTTAAAGTCTCCAGTTCTTCGTAACCAGAATTACCTTCATTTTCATTATAAAGGAAGAATTGAACGAAGATGGTGAAGTCAAGCGCTAACGTACCGAAACTTCCTGCTAACCATGACGAATTGACCCAGAGATAGTACCAGCTCATATCAATTGCCAAAATGGAAATAACATACGTCAAGTTTCCTAAGCATGCGAAGAGAAAAAACATAAATGAGATTCCATCGCAAGACTTACGCTTGTAGTTTAATAAAATTTGAGGGATTCTTGACCCAAGGTACAATATGGCACATAGCCATCCAAAGAATTGAGCTAATGAATCATAGACTAATTCAGGCTGATGCTTTCCTTTTCCTGGGTGCTTTTTATGATGCTTTGCTTCGTTTAAGTATGAAATGTACCATCCAGCTAAGCCTGCTGATATGACAAGGAAGACCATGAGGAATTGTATGCAGGCACTTCTTACAGCGGACATGGAACTGGCAGTAGACCTCTTGGAACCACCTTCACGAGAACTTTCATCATCACCGTCAAAGGTTCCCAGTCTAGTAGCCGAGTCTCTTGACAATACAGTTTCCAAAACGTCTTCACTTAACGGATTTGCTGGAGATAAATGAATTAAGTCAGCATTATTTTCCCCGTGTCCGTAAACCAAACATTGCCATAAAAGAACAATATCGGCAAAAGTATAGTAGATAGCCAAAATAATCATGGTAGGCAAGACCCCTTGTAATACTGAACCCAACACATTGAAGACATCTCCAGCCAACCAAAGAATTACAAACAGAAGAGACAAGCCTTCGGAGGATTTTCTACGGAAATTTTCATAAATTTGCGGAGCAAAGACGATAATCCAGCATGCAATAGAAATGGAGCCTGTTATACCGGAAACAGCCTGAGCGTCAATGATCACTGGAGGCGGTGGAACCATCTTAATTTACGAATATATCTTAGACTTTATTAGAATGAATACAAATATTCAATAAATTTGCACCTATTATATATATTTTATTCTTCTTTTCGATGACCTATAAATAAAAACCATGGAAGGTTTTCCAAAGCTACTCCATTTTTCACTCTGACTCAAAGAAAAAAAAGTCGAAAAGTCACGATGAGATACTTCGATACTGCACATATGCCCAATTTTACTGAGTATTTCTTTTTCTCACCATGTCGCATACCCTATGGGGAGAAAAAAGGTTACCTAAAAGGAAACTATCAGCGCAAGCGCTTAGCACTATAGTGAAAGATATGTAAAAGCCATTTGTTTGCTTAGTATTGAGTTACATACATCCACATCATGCATTCCCGGCAGCCACAGCGATTTTTAAAGTTAAAAGGAAGCACTGCAACACCAAGATTGGTCCATTGGAGAGAATGGGTAGATTAGATAAGTTATTCGAAAAGAGCTGTCCCGTCTATGTATATGCAACCACCATACGAGCGGAGCAGAGCGATTGTATGTTTGCTATCTCTAAATTTATTTTTTATTTTCGTCTTTGGATTCATATTTTTTGCATTTTAAAATTGACAAATATTCTGTGAAGGACTCCATAATCTTCGTCGGTACTATATATAATATATTATCTACTGAATGCAAGCACTTAAGTAACCTCAATTATGCGAGATTTACTATTGCCAAAAGAACTAAAAGCTGGAATGGAGGCTTTTCTCGGCAGCTCAACAGCATGTATGTGCTCTCAAAGCGGTTTGGCTTCTCATCTTTTGTTTATATCCTCTTTGGGATTAATAAAACCGGTTCCAGGAAATTGAGAAACACGATTTAGCCCATAACAGATGATGCTGATCCCCTTTTCAAAGGTATGGATTTATCAGTTATATCACTTATTTTTTGGTCCCAAAAATGGCCAAAACATGTATACGAATTTCCTGATTCAGAAGGGAAAAAAAAAGTTCACCCGCTTAAGGCGTGCTGCATATGTTCACTGCATATTTTGGTAAATTGGTGTGTTATTTACACCGACACGGTTGTAGAATTGCATTAAAATACCTTCTACGGCCTCATCGGCCAAATCCGGTGTATTACCGCTTGATAGAAGCTTCTTGACTTCACCAAAGGGAAAGAAGAAGAAGAGGAGCCTTTCACGCTAGTGTACATCATTTTCTTCGAAGAATAGCGCCTTGCTGGAGTCAACCTCGTTGCTATCAATAACTCCGATTTTGATCAATATCACCTCATTTCAATGCATTCGTAGGAAAATAAACGTAGAATTCCACTTTGGTCCTTTTTCTCTTCAAATGAGCAGGAAATTCTCGGTGATAAACCCTGTCTTGGATCACTTAATTGCAATAAACCTCAAATGAAATGACGAAATAAAAAAATAATTTAAAAAAAATAAACTACAGCTGCAAGTAAACATCGTAAAAGTGCGGGTTGCGCCTATGATGGCCTACCTTGATGCACCAACTAAAAGCATAAAAAATTATGATGACTTTTGTTCATCCCTTCTTAGTTGTTGAAATCTTCGGGGCGAGTCCTTGAGTTAGTCCAATCTGCAATAGAAAGTGTTGGGCGATATCTCACTTTCGAAGAGATTGATGAATAATTGGACCCACTCCAATGAAAACAAGTGTCTAGGGAACCCATTTCTGTCAGCAACCGCAAAAGTATGAAAACAGTTTAATAGAATCAGTTGTCCACTTCATGAAATTATTCAACATCAAGCTCTTGGCCGAGTAATATTAAATCGCGTTCAAAAAGAATTGCAAATGCACTATGCTATTGGATTTATTTTTAAAGGTGCTAATGCAGCTTAATACAGTAATTTTGATTTCGTGCATAATTTGTGCATTTCTTTTTTTCTGTTTTTTTACCCTATTGTTCATCTCGTAATTTACGTATGTTGGCTGCGAAGTATTTGGATTATAAAAGTCTCTGTATTTCCTTCATAACATAACTTGATTGAGTTGTACAGATCAGGACCAGGCAGGATGAGGTTATGTCACTAATGAAAGTTGCTGGCATGTTCCCAACCTTTCCTTGGCCTGCCTTTCAATGAACTCTCCTTTACAGTTGACAAAACTATGACGCTAATTTTTTTTTAGGTGCTTCATTAGTTTATTCGGTTCCAAGCTGATTACTTATTAATTTAAGTGGTCACTTCCGTCGGTTACGTTTTTTTTAGCAATTTGTTCTACTTTTCGATAACGGATCTATACTTTAACAAAGAAATGAAAGCTTACTATCATTTTCACTTCAATACTTTAACATTTCGGTAACAACTAGTTTGTTTTAATTTTTTTTTCACGCATTTCGATACTTTGTATTATCAATTCCAAGATCTGCTTACTTTTCAGTGGTTTATATATTTCAACATAGCTTTGTCGCCAGGCTATTCAATCATTTTTCATTCACACATCATTCGCACAATTACAAAATTTCTAGGATTTCCTAGAAGTATATAGTTATGTTTCTGTTCATTACTTGGTTAAATAAAAGTTAGTTATCAACAATTTCCAGGATCAGGAAAAGCCTGTAGAATCTCTAGGACTATTTCATGAGGTAACATCATGCAGCTATATGATTGGCAGCTACATGATCAGCTTGAGGCAATTTATAAAGAAAACTTTAAGGCTGGGTCCATAAACATAGTAACCAAACGTTTATCAATATGCTGTCTTGCGTTGAATTCACCTAATTTGAGACACTTACCTCTACGAAGAAAGTAGAAAAATTTCTTCTCTAACTTTCTTATAGTATTTGAGTACCACCGTGCGCCTGCTAATGTTATGCAAACACCAGTACATGCTACTGTAGACGGCCAGCACGCAAATCACAGGTAGCTATGTTCTATACTGCTAGCAATGCTCTATAAATTTTCGGTGTTTAAACCGGTGCATTTTATTGCTACATCTTACCGCGCCTATTTTCATCTTCCTCTTCTTTCTAAGCACTTGTTAATATGCAGCGCAAACCTTCCACCAGATATCTTCCTTCCACAATTTTCACACTGAAAATACCTGGAGCCCTCTGAAGTTTTCAATTTCAATTTATCTTGACCGTATATATCTTTTGACGCTGTTGTTTGGTAATTTGTGGTGATTTTTGCATCGCTTGAATTTGCGACATTCTCTTGGAGTGATCTATGTCTTGAGACAGATTGTAGAGTCTGCTGCCTCACTATATTATCTATGAGATCTTTAAGTAAAGACTCAGACTGGCGATTCGTTAGTACTGGAAGAATTATTGGAAAAATAACTTATTCAAAGAAAGAAATACGTATTTTTGTATGTCCATGTATATCAAAGTATGAAGAGTACAAGGCTATAAATACCCTGTCTATGATTTGCACCATCCACGAGTTCACGTTGAACTATTTATCCATTCCACTTCATCAAATTCATTAGGTTTTTTTTTTTTTTCCTTATTGCTAAGCACAAACGTTCATCCCCAAATCTACTTACAAGGACTTGCAATGTGACAGGTTGTTCAGTCATTGTCCCAAGGCTTTGATAATGACAAATGGTACTTCTTTACTTGGCTGGATTTTTGGAGGTTTTCATCGCATCAACTTTCCCACGAACTAGCGTCATGCCATATGCAGTCCTTACATGAAAATTGCTGCATAAGCGTTTAGAAACTCAGACATGAAAAAAAAATCGAGATGGAGATGAGCTTCTATGTTACACCAGATAGCACCAGGCAGTATGATGATTCGTAGACTTCCCAGAGTAGTGTGTAGAAGATACATCAGTATACGATCTGACACGTATGATAATGTAAATTTTGATAGTAAGACAAACGGGTATGCTGATACATTTTCGCCTTACAGGAACCCTGATGGATCGTGGATTAAAGGGTCTAACGCAAAAGAGGCAAGACTTCATGACTTCACGCTACAGGGTCAAAAAGTCAAGAGCATTTCTAAATTGCCACCTCTTATTTCGAGGACTATTAACGACGAGATCTTATCGAAAAATGTACCCGAAAGATTGAGATCTAAAGCTGCTTTACTCTTTCAAAGCATTAGTAAAGATCAGATCCAGAGAGCTCCCGAGAATGCTTTGGATTGTGATGCTTATATCGCATCTTTGTTCCTCCAAGACTATGCCAATGTGGAAACTGTATTGAGAGAGCTACAAAAAAGGTTAGAAGGTGAAGGGAAAAAGTTGCAGCCGGAAAGAGTGTTGGACATAGGCTATGGTCCCAGTACTGGAATGATTGCCCTCAATGAGATAATGGGGGACGATTTTGCTCCTCGAGTAAAAGATTCGTACATAATTGGAAGAAACCAGGGTACAATGAGGAGGAGAGCCAAGGTTTTGCTCTCGAGGCAATTAAATGAGTACAACAAGTGGAGGGTTGAGGAAGGTATCACTGAAACTGAAACTGAAGAAAATGTCCAGCCTCGTGAGGAAGAAGTTGATGACTCGGAAGAATTAGTAGAAGGAGACTCTGAAAATACGTCAGATCTTAAAGACATTGATTTCTCCAAGATTGATATTCAGACTAAACTCAGAACTACATTACCTTCCAATAAATTGTACGATTTGATCATAGTCAACCAGTGTTTGCTTACTAGGGAGTATAACTTCCCTAAGGATGTGGATTTTAATTTGCACCCAATATTAAGGTTGTTAAGCCCTGGTGGCCATATTGTCCTTGTAGAGAGAGGTAATGCCCTTGGGTTCGAAACAATTGCCAGAGCTAGACAGGTTATGATTCGTCCTGAGGCGTATGAGAGAGAGCACGGAAAAATTCCAAGGCCATACGTAAAGGGAAGTAATACCAAGCCGCAGAAATTGAAGGGAATGGATAGCATTATCGCTGAAGAAGATGTTGAGTTCGAAAAGAGTTTACTTGCAAAGTACGGTGAGGCAGATGAGGAAGATTTAAAATTCGAGTTCGAAGAGAGTGAAGATTTCGATGTGGTTGAAGTTGAAAGTGAACCAGTCAAGGCTGAAGATGATGTCAATGGACCAATTGATTATCATCTTAAAATAATTGCTCCCTGCTCGCATCATGCTAAATGTCCTCTTCAACTCGGTAATCCAACATTTTACAAAATTCCCAAGTACAAAAATAAGTTACAATTCTGTTCATACCATCAAACTGTGCAACGACCTAAATTTACCCTTGAGTTGAAAAGAGGGAAGAAACTTGCTACTACATGGGACAAGTCATCCCAGGATGGATTTGGATTTGATAGAATGAATAAGAGAACTGTCCAGAAGTTGGAAGGTTCAGGTAGACCCGGTGGAAATGATTATGAATCTGGTTCCTATTCATACCTTATCGTTGAAAGATCGCACAACGATACTAAGACATTAGCTGATATAGATGAACAGAGAAAATTTCAAAACGAACAATTGAATGCAGCAGACGCTAATAACTGGGCAAGAATTATCAGACAGCCCACCAAACAAAAGCAAAATGTGAAGTTAGATGTTTGTGCACCCTCTGGAAGGATTGAAATTTGGGATGTGCCCAAAAGTGTAGGGATTCAAGAATACCATGACGCAAGAAAAGTAGAGAGAGGAGATCTCTGGGCGTTGGGTAAGAAAACCGTTACTGTTAGAAACATTATGTCAGACGAAAAGGTTGAAAGAATGAAGATAGAAAGCAAAATGTCGAAAAAGAAGTTTTTGAAGGACGAAAGGAGAAAGAAGTGGAAGAAGATTGTATCATCTACAGAAGGTGCCTTTGATAGTGAGAACTTTATGACAGTAGCGGATGAGTTGGCCACTGAATTAGAATCATCTAAGAAATATAAGACCGAAGGGAAAAGGGCTGGATTCAGAGGCGACCCTAGAGATCACGATGGTCTCTAGTGGATAATGTAAGGTACACACGTATATATATAATTTGTAAATAGAAATCTTGTACATAGTGAACTAAAGGTTAAGGGAATATGAATTAAAGTAGACTACTGGGTGCAAATTTAGCGGATCAGATAACATTTTCATAACATATCGATGTAACACCAATCAGCTGAGGCACGATGTAAACACCTAAGATTTGGGAACATGGGACCCAAATCGAAACCCAAGATCAACGATGCTCCAGGCAGACTCTTACATAATTGGCAAAAGGAACCTCACTGGTTTGTCAGTTTGCCTGCAGCTGTCCCCTCGCTTAATGCGCTTGACCAAATGTTTTTTCGATGGTGCCGTTCCTCACCAATTATCTACCTACTTACCCCACTACTCAACTACTACATGTCTACAAAAGATTGCCTTTCATATAAAACCGTCTATTCACTATATAAGCCTCTTTCCGTAAAGAGATACCACGTGAAAACCAGAGTATTATTTATTTTATGTCTATTATACATCATGCAAAACCTGCCGCCACCAAGAATGAAATTCATCCATGCAAAAAAAGTTCAAAAAATCTAAGGGATATAGGAAAGTAGGTATAGGAGTAGTAGTAGTACTCTAGGTACCATATGTGAAATAAACTCCCGCTCAAAGTTCCCCTTGGATTGATCTAAATATCATGCATTTACTTTCTTCTGAATGAGCTACCTTCGGTCAACTTAGCCTTACCACCAGTTGGGGTACATAAGACGGTTGAGCAGTTGTCACAAGTGACAGCGGTTTGTGCGTGAGAAAAGACAGTGGTGATGTTTAAACAACCTTGACACTTAACATCCATGAAGTATGATCTTGGAGATTGGACTAAGGTCTTTAACTTGTGTTGTTGAGCTTCAGTAGCTGGGCTAGGGTGTAATAAATCTTTAACTAAAACCATTGTATCTGTACTATATTATGTGTATAAGAGAAGAGAAGGGTATAAACCAGTGCAAAAAAATTGAGAAAAATTTTCTTCTATGGTAAAGTTGTGAAAGATTTTTTCTTTTTCTTGAAGGGGATGAAAAATTTTTCATTCGTCATTTTTGTGTCTTGCCACATATTTCCCAATAGGAATGCAGTGAAAAATTCTGAAGTTAGCGCCCAATGCGGAAGTCAAGCTAGTTCTGGTGTTAAAGTTTAGTGGCATGCAGGATGTTGCGTTGATACCAGATTATGTAACATGCAGATGCCATACATTTGGGTTGAGAAGGGAGAGAGGTCTACAGCAGAGCTTGGAGAGCGCAGCAGAGTGCAACGGAACGTAGTAGAAAATAGTAGAACATAGCAGAACACGATTGAATGCACTATTACTTAGGTATGTGCGGATCCAGATCCAGTAGTAGCACATTTAACCGCTGTCTGTTGCTCATTTCTGCTATCGCTAAAGAATGCATGCATGCAGGACCACTGATAAAGAGATCCTCTTGAGGATTGGTTAAATGCAAGGAACAATAGAAAAAGCTTCTTGCTGGAACACAGTGGTTGAAGTCGCTCACTCAGCTTGTACTTGATTAATCCTCACTGCCCTTCCAGGCTCCCCCCGCCCCAACCTCCGAATGTTTCCTTTTATTCAAGCTACTTTAAGCGACCCATATCTAACGAAAAAAAAAAGCTTAGCACTCTAGTTTCTTTCTCAACCCCACTTCCTCCTGACGTATTTTTTCCATTAACATGGATACTTTTTTACCGTGTGCCTCATTTCGTAGGTGAGCTTGATAGATACGAAAAGCGCGCATATTTACGGAGAAGGTGCAAAAGAGAGGTATATGGTATAATAATATAGGTTCCCAGCCCCCAGGATCTGATCCTCTGGTACCTCAGAGCCTCGGCCCTGTCTTGCTTGGCTCTTATTGAAGTAGTTATGTCAAGCATTATTTTCCCGCAACTATCTTTTTTAAGCTTTTGGTGTTTATGTACTACTCTATCAGTATGCGCATGATTTATTATCTATCAAGGGGAATGCGAGTTTAATTTAAAGTTTTCCTAATTTTCCAAAAGAATCTTAATTAATCTCTAGTCCGCAGCAATTATATACCTGATAACCCCCGTATCTTATCCCTCTACAGTCCCGAGCTGAGAAAGGACTGCTCCTTGTCCTTGTATACTCTTCTCACATTCAAACGAATCTACTTGAAGATTGTTTTGGGGTTATAGTACTTCCAAAAACACGTCTATTGTCGTTTTTCGGTATCTCTTTTTTTTTTAAGATCTTTTGCAGCTCCTCGATCATTGATTTACAATTTTTAGGCAGTTTGTGTGTATTTTCTTAGGGAGGCATAGCGAGGTTCAATTATTGTTGAGCTTGGAGGTTGTCTTTTAACTTGTCGCCTTGTATATCGATAGGGTACTTTTTATTTGCAATTAGAGGAATACTAGCAGATCACTGGAAGGGTACTCAATGGCGCTCATGTCACATTTCGCTGTAAGCATGCTTTTAGTGATCCACATGCTTCCTATACTTTACTTCTCAAATATCACGAGTTTATTTATGACAATAGGTGTGAGTATTTTACTTCAACTATTGACGGAATTGCCTTGGCTCGTGAGTCGGAAAATACGATTGTGGGGCTCTACTACCTCATTGTCAATTACGGTTGTGATTGTTGCTGCAATGACTGGATTGGGGATGGAGATTATTCTCAAGAAGGATAATTTTTGGAGCAACTACGTCTTTACCGCTCTAAATATTCGTTTATCTTGGATATGGGGTTCGATTGCATTCTTCTTTACTCGAGGTTCGAGTATAGAGTATTTTCTAAAGAATCTCATAGCAATTGATGTTTCGGAGAATGCAACTAATGAGATCAGTTATAAGTTAAAGGAATACGAAGAGAAGTTTGAAGCCATGGAATTGAAAACTAGACAACTAGAATACTCGGTATTGAAGCTTAAGGAATCCCAAAATGTGTACATTAAACAGAGCAAGTCTAAGAAAAAGGAACAAGAGTCAAATAAGCCGGAAAACATCTTTGTGAGATCATTCCCCTTTAATATGCATGGCAGTACTTCGGGTATGAGGAGACGACAAGTTTCTGGGCTGACTTCTCCTAATAATGATCACTATGCATATCCACTGCAAAATCAACAAGTTCTGCCCAAGTTGAGTCCTACAAAAATTGGTCATGGCCTCGAAACCATACTTGAACAACGAGAATATATTGATGGTCAGCAAAGAGTTGGAAGCACTGTTCCAAATAAAATAATAGATACCAAATCACCATTGTCACTGGCGTTTGATAAGAAATACAGCAACAATTTGCCATCTTTTGTAGAAACGTCATCTCCTATATTCCAACCAACTCCGAAGACGCCGAGCAAGAGCAACTTGAACAGCTCTTTCACCGAGCCACCTATTAGAGAAAAGAAAGTAAGTGGATTCTTCTCACTTCACGGATTTCCATTTTCTTCTTCTATAACAGACTTACTTACTCGCCAATTAGTACAAAATGAACTGCGAGATCAAATGATTCCAACTTCGGGAGCAGAGTCCAATATCCCTCCCCGTGCTATGCTGTTACCGGTCAATGAAAGCAGCAAGCGGAATGAAATTGAGACGGATTCGGACTCCAGAGAAGAGCTTAACCTATCAAGAGCTATTAAACATCTTCTAGATGACCCCTCCCTTTCCAAACTAAAGGTGAGTGCCAAATGCATTCGCATGCTAATTTTAATGGAAATAAGCAATTATTTTCAGCCATATTTAACGCCTGAGGTACTAAGTACCTGCAATAAGATTCTACAATACTTGCTTTGGCAAACTTATTTGAATAGATCGGAAGTTTGGAGACTTTTGATAAGATCTAGCTTCTTCCCATTGAAGCTCTTCAAAGCACTTGCTTTCGATTTCCCCATAAGCGTGCTAAAATTTCAAATGGAAGTAACTTGCTACATTCCCATTTTATTATATAGAAAACTCATGCCACAAGGGGGCATTAGAAAATTTTCTCTTATAGATAAGTATTCGAAGTCAAACTCAAAGCCTGTTAGCTTTCATGCAAAGTGAACTGCTACAATTAATATGGATGGGTCCCCCAAAGAAAGAACAGAGTGAGCCGTAGAATATTAGCCAATAACCCTATTTCTGTACTGAATTGAATTTCAACTATTAAGCTGTCAAAGAAATTTGTCTAATTCTCCAAGCGAACATTATGACTAGAGTGTCAGTTCTTCGTTTTCATTTTTTATCCCCATCGAGCTCATCGCCATTTTCTTCCTTTGACACATTCAAACTGCTTCTATGCTTCCAACCTGCAACGCTTTGCAGCCATTTCATGCACCTTGCACTACATACACTCCCGATCCTGATTACATCATTCTCGATTTTCTCTTCCTCATCAATTTTTCTGTTATCGGGTCTGCAATATCTATTTGCATTCGTTTACTATTACTAATCGTGGATTCATGGCTTGTTTCTAAGTAGTCCATATTCCTTTAAGTACCGCCATTCAAAATAGCTAACAAACGTAGGCCCAAGAAGGCCCGTGCTCCGTATAGGAGATATGTCTATAGACTGAATTTCGCAGCAGAGCCAAATAGTAGCGATGAAGAACAAGAAGTTGAAGAAGAAGCAGAAGCAGAAGAAGCAGCAGATGGAGAGGTGAAGGGGCGTGTGGCTCAAGGCCCTGGTATGAATGGACAGTCACACAAGGACTTCAAGCTGCATGCTCACATAATATCAACGTATGTACTTACTAAACAGTATTCGTACAAGGGCAATGTCTGGCCCAGGTCCCAATTTGAAAAGATCGATGTGCTACAGTGCGCACTAGCACAGAGAAACGTTGAATTCGAGGAAAGCATTGCTCGAGCGCAAGAAGAGATGATAAGAGAACTGAAGTTAATGAAACTTCCTGTAGAGATACTTGTTTCCATATTAGAGATCTTATATTATAGAGGGAAGCTCAAACCAAAGTACTTGAGAGTGTGTAAGCTCTTTTATTTCATAGCATATCCGCTAATTTATAGAGCCCCCCGCTTAAAATCCAGTAACTTTTTCAGCTTTGTAGAACTGATATCTGCAAACAAGAGAGGAGGTGCTGAATATATCCAAGAGCTTGACTTGTCAGGCGTGATCCAAAGTGGTAAAAATGCATTTGTTCTGAAGCTTTTAAAGCGAACTAAGAAACAACTACAAGTCTTTGTAGCTCCACAAGCAAGTTTTGGTCTTGCACCTCTACTTTCATTGAAAAACTGTTCCAACTTGAAAATCTTGGATTTAAGACTTGTGTCGGAAACCTTGAACTTAAGTGAGTTGTTTAATTCCATTCGATCACTTCAAAACTTGACGCATTTATCATTCCCTAGGTCATCTGTAGCCATAGGAGACTACACCGCGGTAGCTTGGCCACCAAAACTTTCATATCTAAGGCTCTCTGGGGGAATCTCAGATGATTTCTTATTGAAGACAGAGTTTCCACCAACCATCACCCAGCTAGAGTTTGCCCACTGCCCTCATATTAAAGAGTTTGGATTTCAGCTTTTTATCCGAAAAATGGGGAGTAACCTAAAGACGTTGAAAGTCCAATACCCCATGCCTGGTCTTCGTGAAAGATCGCTAGATCCTGTTTTCTACTACTGCAAGAACTTGCTTGTCCTCGAAGTAGCAGTTGACTACGTCTCTTCCACATTTTTCGACGAGGAAAACTTATCCTACCTTGATTTCCCCAGACCACTCAAAACATTATATATAGAAAGTAGTGGTATGTTGGGGACTTCAACAAGGTTGGATCCCATTGATCTAGCTGTAGCGTTAAACGATGAAAGGTTACCAAAGTTGAAGAACATAAGGTGTACTGCAAAATTGGGATGGGATCCAAAGTCTGAGTATGTCTCGTTCATCGTGGATGCATTAGATGAAAGGGGAGGCGGTATATATATCGGTTATTAAAAGGGAAAACAGATAAAATAAGAGACAAACAAACAGTACGGAAGATATCAAAGAATTAAAGGTAAGAAGAAATATAATTTGAACACTTCAATTCCATGGACTTTGATCAGCAAAGTCTCTGATTCCTTTTAGGAATACCGCATTAAGGTTGACTGAGAACCAAGGAAAAACAGTCAAGCAAGAAGTCATTTCTTTACAAAATAGCAGCGCAGAAAGAGCAAATAAGGAATAATTATCTGCAAATAACTAGCTTGACAATCTCAAACTCAAAAACGTACTCCAAAGAGTGGCCCTTCTTCACTTCTATATACATTTATTTAATTTGTGGGGTCAGTGTCCTGCATCCAGATCAATAATTTTTCACCTGCTTCTGTGCACAGCCTGTAACAGAACGACTCTATCATATACATTTAAGTTCGGATCAAAGATTGTAGTACTTACTTCATTCCTTTATATATTATTATCGTCAATTGCAGGTGGATATGACAGGTGGAGAGTATCAAAAGGGCAAAAAGAGATATTTTTTATCTACTTCCAAGTCTCCTACCATAATATCCAAGTCAAACGTAACTAAAATTGACCATGCATTGATATTTGTACTATTCGTCGCGTCTAGTTTAATAAGATTGTATAACCTCCCATACCCTGATAAAGTGGTATTCGATGAAGTACATTTTGGAGGGTTTGCTCGAGAATATGCCTGGGGAGACTTTTACTTGGATGTGCACCCTCCATTGGCGAAATTGATCTTTTTCTTCATAGCCCTTAGTCTGGGCTGGGATGGTAAATTTGACTTTGCAGAAATTGGGAAATCATATCCTGAAGGAGTTCCCTACTTATACATGAGATTGTTTCCTGCTATTTGTGGAATAATTACTGTCTTATTGACGTTTGGATTATTGAGACTGAGTGGTTGTAGATCAGTAGTTGCCTTCTTTGGTGCATCATTGGTAATGGTGGAAAATTCACTTGTTACCCAATCCAGATTCATTTTATTGGACCTGCCTTTGATTATGGGAATATCCTTGACTCTTTTTGCGTATAAGAAGTTTCAAGTAACTATTCCCTTCTCCAAGAAATGGCACAAATTTCTCATTTTAACCGGTCTTGGATTGGGTGTCACCATTAGTACCAAATGGTCTGGGCTCTTCACAATGGCGGTTATTGGTTCACTAACGGCACTAGAATTATGGTTAATTTTGGGAGACTTACAAGTTAGCATGAAGTCTCTAATAAGACACTTCATTAGTAGGTTTGTTGGCTTTTTCCTTATTCCTTTGACTATCTATTTAGGGTGCTTTGCTGCACATTTTGCGCTGCTTCCAAATGGTGGTCTGAACTCTGGTGGATCAGGTAAACTTTCACCTGAATTTAAATCTACTTTGATTGACAATGATGTTGATTGGGAGAATTTGCCAGTAGAGGTGAGTTATGGCAGCACTATTACTTTGAAGCACTTTAACCTTGGAAGCTACTTACATTCTCACAATGCCACATATCAAACAGGAACCCAAAAGCAGCAAGTTACTCTTTACGGGTTCGATCCAGACCCAAACAACGAATGGATCCTAGAGATGAAACAAAGACTGGAGGAGGGAGATTTGCAAAGAAAAATTAGAACAATTAAGGATGGAGACGTCATCAGGCTTCTTCATAAAGAAACGGGGAAACTTTTACACGTTGATGACGTAAGACCTCCAGTTTCGGAAGAAGAGTATAATAACGAAGTCAACTGTGAGGGCTCCAAAGGTATGGATCCATATGATGGAAATTACGAATGGAAAGTTAGAATAGTGCAAAAGAGATCTACATTGACGGATAATAACTTGCCCTTGATAAAGTTACGTGCTACTGAACTGGTGTTCCAATTGGTACATGTAGGCACCAGGTGCATACTCAATGCACACCAGGATAAGCTCCCTGGTTGGGCATTTAAACAACTGGAAGTCTTTTGCACTGATGAGCCGACTATTTTGAATACCTTTTGGTATGTAGAATACAATTCGCATCCAAAACTAGACGCTGGGGTTAAATCAGGAACTGAATCCAAGATCAACTTGCACCCATACACATTTTTGGACAAATTCTTGGAAATTCAGCATCAAATGTGGAGGCAAAACGAGGACATTACAGATTATCATGAATTCAGCTCTCTGCCGGAAACTTGGCCATTCTTATCCAGAGGAGTTTCATACTTCAAAGATCAATTTAATCATCAAAACATTTACTTTTTGGGAAATGTTCCGATCTACTATGGAGGATTCATTGCAATTTTATGGGTTTTATTACAGAAAGTTATTTACTTTATTGGAATTGCCAATCCATTTGTCTACGGAGCGGTTACTTCAGATGATTCCAAGATCTTCCAAGCCGCAAGTTTTGAGTTCTTGTTGGGATGGATATTCAATTACCTCCCTTATTTCAGCTTGTCGAGACAAACGTTCCTCCACCATTACTTACCTGCATTGTATTTCTCCATTTTGGTACTTACGCAATGTGTTGAGTATCAATATTCCAAGAGACAGTGGTTTGCACGTTTGCTCATGCTTTCTATTGGAGGCAGTGCGGGCTATTGCTTGTACAACTTCGCACCTATAGTCTACGGGACATCGTGGAATCCACTTGAATGTTTAACTTCTAGATGGTTTGTTAGATGGGATGTAGATTGTAGCGTATATATCTAGATAGACAAGAAGGTGAAGTGAGTAAATGACTAAATTAAATCCCAATAATCTATGTACCACATGAATCAGTCAACGACTACATTACTTTGTAAGAATCCTTCCAATAGTGGAGAACCTCAAAGTTCACCAACCTGCCGAGTTCTCCATGCCATACCATCACCTCATCCCGTAGGATGTTCAGATTACTCTCTACTTTTTACTTTTCACGAAGGTGAACTATTTACATACCATTCCAAATGATACTATCTGCCGGATGCTTTACTACATTTCACACATCATTTCAAATGAGTATATTGCTGGCTGCTTTGCTTGTTCCATATTTTGGTGTAACTACCTAGTGGATGAAATTCCATTCGCGACTTCCATAATCAAGTCCTCACACCAGTCTAGTAGCTTGTCCTTCTCTTCGATCAGCTTGAGTCTATCTTTTTCCACTTCTTCCAATTCCAGTGCTAACTCCTCAATAAGCTTCAATTGGTTCGTTGGCGACACTCCTATGCCCGGGAGATAATCTATGAGCATTCTGAGTTGCCTTGATTTTAAGATTATGTCCGTGGACAATTCATTTATAGTGTTATTGAAAGCCACAGCGTTGTCCTCAGCCATTCTACCACCAGCACCGCCAGCACCGCCAGCCGAGTCAGGCGACTGCTTCGTGCTTGCTGGGTCGGAGCCATCTGCCTGAGGGGGTACCGAAGACGAAGGTGCCCCGTTTATATTCTGTTGCTGTTGGCCTGGTAAAGGTGCGTTTGCTGCGATTGAAAAATACGACTTCCCATCTGCGTCAAGTAGAGCAGGCTCACTGTTGGTGTTTACATAGTTTATCGTTGCGTTGAACTGTGCCACGAGCTGATCGAGGCAAACTTGAAGCTGCGTTAGTCTGTCCGTCATACTACAATGTAAGAGTTATAGGTGGTCCAGTCGGTGTAAAGAACATCTTTCTCCAGTTCAGTTCGCCTGGGCTCACGCTCTCTCAAGCGAACTAAAAAAAAATCCACTGATTACCATAACACCCGTACACCAACTGTGGTAGTATAGGCGATACAATCGCATGATGATCTGAATCAGGATTATAAATATGATCTAGCAGCTAGTTCACTTCTCTTCTGTTCAAGTGCATAAAATCGGCTCAAATTCGTAGTAGAAGTGTTTAACTTGAAAATAAACTTGTGTAATCTTATATAAGGGAGAAAACAGAGAGACTTATATGCTATTTAGGCTGCTTTGTTTACACCACTCCCTAATCAGCATATCCCCTTCCCCAGATTCGAAATCATGTCTGTCCCAGTGTGGCAACCAGACTCGCAGGCTTCTTGCTGTTGCCTCTGCTCAAACAAATTCACCCTTTTCAACCGGAGACACCACTGCCGGAAGTGTGGGAGGGTTGTCTGCGGAGACTGCTCTGACCAGCAGATCAGGTACTTTGCTAGTACGATGATTGTGGGGCCAGGTAACAGGCAAACAAGACCCACTCCTTACGATACGTACAGAACTTGCGACGAGTGCGTTGAAGAGATCAGAATGATCAGAAGAGCTTTATTTGACGGCGTGAACATAGACCAGAGCATCGACTCGCCCAGAATCACCGGCCTTACCTCTAGTGCTGCACCTGGTGGTGGATCTGAGAACTCGCCAGGCGAGACTAACTCCATATCGTCTGTTACCAAGTACATATCCACTCGTACCCGCACCAGACTCATACACTCGTCTACACAGTCAAGCGTAAACACCACGCCAAAGATTACTGCTGCAGAACCGTCGCCCCAGCCTCCTTCGGACGACGATCAGTCTGACCATAACCTCTGTCCAGTGTGTGCAATCAACCTCCTGCAGTTATTCAAAGGCAGTGGCAATGATGATTTGGAGACCTTTAAAGAGGAGCACATCAACGACTGTCTTACTCAGTTTGACTTCAACTTTGACCACCAACGTAGCCCCACTGCTGATGGATCCAGGCTCCATACACGGAACAAGATGTTGGTCTACAACATACCACCTATCCCCAAACCGCAATTTGAAACCTTCCCAGCTTCCTCGTCATCTTCTTCTAATGCTATCAATACCGAAGCGGTGCCAGAATTCATTGTGGGCTCGGAAAACTCGGCTCACTCCACCATGCAAATGTCTGAGAAGTTTGTTGCCAGAGAGTGTGTTATTTGTTTAGAGGACTTGAAACCTGGTGATAAAGTTGGGAGATTGGAATGCTTATGTGTCTTCCACTATAAATGCATCAAGGATTGGTTCAATAAGAAGGGATATGGCGAATGTCCTGTGCATTTCTTACATAAGTAGGACCAGCTTCGAGCTGCTCCTTCTTACATTAGCCTAGAATGGGCTGCTTAATATTTTTATTTTCATTTCTGTTGGTGATATTCAGTTCTTCGTACTTTTATATTTAACTATATAGTATAGTATAGTATTTTTATTATTATTATTGTTGTTGTTGTCAGCTTGCTACGTGTTTGGTGTTTGGTAATTTTTGGTTGGTTAGTGTATTATTATGGTACATATAGGTGTGCTGTTAGTTTATATAAGTATACAGTTTTTAATAATAGAATAATAATATTTTGACTAGTCTCTATCGTCCTTACCCTTTCTTCCTCTTCTACTATCCCTTGTTTCGTGATAGTCCTTTGTTCTTCTGATGGCTTCAGCACTGGCTCTATCCACGTGAACATGTAATGCATCCAAGACTTCCTTGGAAACATCATCCTTGGTGAGTTTCTTCTGTAATGCCTGTTCAATTCTCAAGAAACTTTCCCAGTCATATTGAGTAATGAGCGAGATGGCCTTACCAGAGAGTCCTGCTCTTGCAGTTCTCCCCACTCTGTGAATATAAGTCTTAGATTCTTGTGGAATGTCGTAGTTGATCACAAGATCAACTGCTGGGATATCAATACCTCTGGCGGCAACATCGGTCGCTACAAGAATGGATGCCTTTCCAGCCTTGAACTTATTGAGAGAACCGTTTCTCTGCGCCTGCGAGAGTTGGCCATGCAATGGGGTCACGGAAAATCCGAGGATAGATGCAAGTAATGCAGTACGTTGAGCATGTGCACAGGTTCTGCAGAATACGATGGTAGACTTACCAATATGCTCGTTAAGTAAATGTATGAGTACTGTGTTCTTCTTACCATCACTGACAAGCATCATGGACTGGATCAAATTATCAGCAGTCTGGTTTTTTTCGGATACTGCAACTTTAACTGGGTTATGAAGAGAGGCCCTTTGCAATTTGGCAATCTTATTGGTCATAGTGGCAGAGAAAAGATAAGTAGTACGTTTTGTAGGAATAATCTTTAAAATCTTGTCTAGAGCAGGACCGAAATCCAAATCAAGCAATCTGTCCGCTTCATCCATAACAAGGTATTGCAATTTCTTTAAGGAGAACCCCTTGGTATGTTCCAAATGATCCATTATACGGCCAGGAGTGGCAACAATGATGTGTGGCTTACGCATGAGGTCTCTTGCCTGGTCCATCATATCCATACCACCAACTACACATACAGTTCTAAGACCCATAGACAGTCCCAAGGCATCGAAAGTTTCCTTGATTTGGTAGGCAAGCTCTCTGGTAGGGGCCAATACAAGACCGTAGTATGGCTGCTGAGCATCCCAAAGGGCCTGTAAGATTGGAATTGCGAAGGCTGCAGTTTTACCGGAACCAGTCTGTGCCAATCCAATGATGTCCTTCCCTTCCAAGGCATGTGGAATAGCCTCAGCCTGAATAGGAGTAGGTTTTGTGAATTTCATGTTTTCAATAGACTCAAGAAGCTCTGGAATAAGCTTCAATTCGGAAAATGTCGTGAACTTTGGTGGGGCATCAGGATCAACTTCGGTGGATATGGATGCAGCTGGTGAATCAGTTGATTTCTCATCCTTTGTGGTTTCTCCTGCTTGTACCTTCTGCTCAAGAGCCCTTTTTTTGATCTTTTCTGCCAATTTTTTTGCGTCACTCTTTTTAGAGGACGTCTTAGAAACTTTAGCTCTCATAACATCGGCCATTTTGATAAGATATTGTCGTGCTGTGAAAGAATGAATACCGCCTTGTGCCTGGTGGTTCTGTGGTGATTTTTTTTTCTCTTCTCTTAGTAATGCGCATCTCTTGATATTGGAGTATATGCAGGCCGTTAACATCAGCAGCTGGATGCCTAGCTACTCAAGGTTAGGGGGTTCCAGATTGCTCTCAAAGATGTGTTGTTGGATCTCTTGTTGCCATCCATACCATAATTCTTGCCTTTGAGAACTATATGTCTCTTGGACGTCTTTTATGCTTGCATCTTCACACCCTCTATCCCATCTCCCAATTTAGTGTCCTGCAGATTAGGAATATTTATTCGATTACCTGCAGGATCAGCGATGCGATGAGCGCACGAGAGAAATATTTCAGCCTAAGAAATCATTTCGAGTAGAGACATAGAGTTACTGTAAAACACGTAGTTATAGTATCATTGACATATCAGGATGGCCAAGAGAAGAGTAAGTATCGACAGAAAATAGTGGGCTAGGCGCAGAAACAAAAAAAAACGAATTAGAAGTCCTAGCTAATGACGTATATGATGCACCGTTTTATACTAACACCCATCTCTAGACAAAGACCAGAACTCACACCAAAGTTTCAGAGGAAGAGCTTGCCAAAATACCTCGCTCTATGGTCCTTAGACTTGGGAGTTCATTGAAAAATCATTCTCTTTCTCAACTTGTTAAGGATTTCAGAAATGTAATGCAACCACATACCGCTATAAATTTACGTGAAAGGAAAGCCAACAAGTTGAAAGATTTTATCGTCATGGCTGGACCCTTAGGAGTGAGTGATTTGTTCGTATTCAACCAATCAGAAGATAGTGGAAACGTCAGTTTAAGAATTGGTAAGATGCCCAGAGGACCTACCCTTCAATTCAAATTGAATAGCTATTCTTTGGCTAAGGATGTGCGTAAGATATTGAAGCACCCAAAGTCCATGGGAAAAGATTGTAGTGAATTTTTAGCACCACCTTTGCTTGTTCTTAATGGGTTCTCTGTGAACGAAAATACACCTAACCACGAGAAGTTGTTGGTGACTGTCTTACAGAACATGTTCCCACCAATTCAACCTCAACTGACCAAAGTTAGTGGGATTAAGAGGGTCTTGATGATTACCAAAGATGCTGAGCTGGGTGAAATCGAATGGAGACATTATGCCATCAATACCAAGTTGGTTGATGGAAGTAGGAACGTGAAGAAATTAATCAACAGTCATCACAACTTGAAGAAAAGTTTGCCCAATTTAGGAAAGGCCAGTGACGTCAGTGACTTGTTATTGGATCCTTATGCCGTCGGAGGTATAACTAGTGATTCAGAAGTAGAGGACGATGCCATTGTAGAGATCAAGGCTGAACAAGATGCATCTGCCATTAGGAAGCCATCCACTGGGCCAAAGCCAGATGCAGAAGCAGAAGAAGAACCTGTACAGTCCACGAGGAAACGTGCTATCAAGTTGACTGAACTTGGACCAAGACTCAGCATGTCATTATCGAAGATCGAAGAAAACTTAACTGGATCATCCAAGACTATCTATCATTCCAGAATCACAAAGAGTACCAAAGAAGAGCAAGCCTTGGCAAAGAAACATGCATTGAACGAAAAATTGAAGCTTGAAAGAAGAGCCAAGCAAAAGGCTAACGTTGAAGCTAAGAATAGAAAGAAGGATGAGAGAAAAGCCAGAAGAAAGGCACTCAAAGAGGGCGGTGAACTTCCAGCAGGAGAAGATGTTGCAAGTGGTGAAGACAGCAGTGACAGTGATGCTCCAGATATCAAGGCTGAAGATTACGAGAACGATAGTGATTTGTATAGTGATGTTGAGTAGATGCATATAAAACTAAATAAAGAGTTTAGAGAAACAGAACCATGGCCACTGAAGTCGGGAGAGCAGTGTAGGCACCAGTGAAGGTGTAGGAAGAGCAGGTGTACATAGTTTACTGGAAATATATCGTATAGTTTATTAGGAATACTTCATAAATATATATATTATTAACGATTACCTGGAGAGAATCTTGATTCAAATCAGTCTGCTTTCGGAACCTTTGTCCGTTGTTTCTTTGGCACCTGTGCTTTCCCTTTCAATTTCCTTTATCAACTTGCTGATCTCAGTTTGTAAGTTCAACACCTGAATCGAATCGCTCAACCACTCTTCAAAATACTTCTGAGACTGTCTTAGTTGATACGGCACCAATCCGCCGAATTGAAGTAAGGGGTCTACTAATTTTCTTTCTTCAGCAGAAGAAGATTTTGATTCCAAGGATTGAGCTTGAATTTCCAGATTAAGCTTCTTTGCTTGGTCCTTTCGATTTTTCAATGTACCGGCACCGGCAGAAGAAGATTCACTACTTATACCAGTCACTACAACACCACCGCCGCCGCCGTCACCGTTTATATTCGCAGCTTCAGCCGGTCCCCCTTTATGCTGGTCTTTAATACTCGAGTCATCTTTCCTTTCAGGTTGTATGTTATTAACGGTTTTTTTATTATTCTTCTCTATATTTTCACGTTCTACCTGCTTGGCTCGCTGATCTACCAACTGAAACTTTCCACCATTGGCTACAATATCTACAGTCTTACAGCTATCATACGGCCTCAAATCGTAGGAGTCAGGTCCATACTTCTTCCCCAACAGTAAACGATTGTTATAGTTCGATCTACTTAAGTTTAAGCTCCCATTGATGAAGTTTAATCTGAATTTGCCATTCGCTAGTTTTTCATACCTATCCACCAACTCGAGCAATTGGGCAAACTTTTGGTCATACGAATTTACCAATTCAGGTTCATGTTTTTCTCCGCTAAGTACAAAGGAAGGCTCTTCATCGGAGAGGTAATCGTCTTTGATAGAGATATCCTCCAATACCTTGGCCAATTGGTCTACGGTGGTCATGCCTAAAGAAAGAACTTCTAGTGTACTCTCGAGAATAACTTCCTAATTCATGTTAAAGGCGCGGCGTGGAAAATCACGAAGCTCATCACTAACTGTACCCCAACAGCACTGAGTATGGGATGCCGCCTTCCTAAATCTGATAGGTAGTAGTGGCAGGTACTAATCACATTGGAAGATACTACAACTGTTAAGTGCAAGCGTATGACTAGGAATTTCAGATAAAAAAAGGTCTATTTATTGTATATTCTTTATTTTAGTAAACTCTACTCTCCTCATGTATGTCCTCATTTATTCTATTCTAACAAATGAAATAAATACTCCAATACAGCATCTCTTAAAGCTTTTGCTGGCGTTGATCAACAGCCATTTTGATTAACAGAAAGGCTATAGACTCTGGGTTTGGCAACAAGATCCCTTCCGGGTTGTCTATGTTGTTGTTCTCATAAATCCATTTTCTGATCAATTCAGTATCAAACCATCTAGCATCAGCCAATTCTTTGTCATTGTCCAAATGAATAACTTCATTTTCTCCGTTGAAGTCAACTACAGCAAGACATCCAATCATCAAATTGCCTGGGAATGGCCATGGCTGCGTCATTATAATGTTGATTTTGTTGCATACCACCCCGGTTTCTTCCCATATCTCTCTCTTGGTGGCTACTTCAACAGTTTCTGAAGGTTCCATAAAACCAGCGGTACAGGCATACATTTTGGTGACCGCATGACGTTTGGAAAGTGAAAGGAGAATTTTCGATCTATCGGATGAAGTTATAGCAGTAATTACGCAGGCATCAGTTCTGGGAAAAGAAACATTGGACACTGAAGCACTTTTCACTGGGCATATAGAGACTTCCTGATCTCTCTTTATGGTAGTCTTTGTATTCGTACATTTTAACTTCCCACCGGCATGAATTGGGATTGTCTTGGTACCACAACCAGGACAAAACAAGTTTCTACTCAACCAATCCAAAAACATCTTACCATGGGAATAAAGAGCAGCCTCCTTATGAGTGAACCCAAGGTAGTGCTTTCTTGATCGAGTGAAGAATACCGGAGAATCGTCTCCAGTCCCTTCGCCAGTTGGCAGCCCACCTTGAAGTTGGCCCTGTGCTAATAAAAATTCTTCAATCTCTGGACTAGCTGTTACATCTACTGCAAAATATGGTATCCCTTGGTATCTACCCTGATGATCTAAATATTTTTCGTCGCAAGGTATGTCCAGGTGTTCCTGCTCCAACTCTTCAGCCTTCAAGTCACTCAACTTCAACCCTACACTCTCATCCTCTAACCCCAAGAACAAAAAAACCGGTTTTCCATGCGATCTCAAATCGGCGGACTCATTTCTATTATCTTCGCACCAGTTATGTACAGCAGTTGTCCAAGTGTTTTCAACAATTCTCCCATCCGAACTTGTTGCTAGACCCTTCTTGCTACCAATTTGATTATCACCGTTGGTGAAAACTAATAATTTTTCCTTTAATGATTTGTTAATTAGAGGATTAGTTTTGGAAAATGCAATAAATCTAGCAGCTGGATGTTTTATGGAATTACAAATAAATTCTGTATCTTCTCTTAAAAACGATACTCTATTGATGGCTTCAGTTCCAAAATACATATCATTTTGTTGATCTGTTACGGAGGTATTTACACTGTGCGACATGGCGGAAGCATAGATTTTACTTTTATTGAGGTGATTATTGACCTGTTGAAATAGTTTTGCAGAAGTTACAAAGTGCCTAGAAAAGTACATAAATAGGAAAAAGAAAAGAGCTCCAACCAAAAGATTATTTTTTCGGTTCTTGTTCGGTTAGTGTTTTCGGTTTCTTGCTTTCTTTTTTTTCTTACTTTTTTCTCCAATTGCTTACTTTCGGAGGACGAGAGTTGGTTGGACCGCGATAAGCACACTCGTGATAAGCCTGCATGCAATGAAAGAAAGAGTAGGCACTTATGTACATCGATAGTTAGCATGAAGAGCCCTTCGAGCCTGGGGGCTGTAGAGAAGCATTGCTATTCTTCTTCTTAACCTCTTCCTTCATGGCTCATATGTGTTTATAAATCATATTACAGTACATGTTGCATGCTCTTTTTTATGCGATGAGTACCTCTTCTTAATGGAGGATCGCGGTGGAGTCCTCTATGTAACGTCAAAGAGAGCAGGGAGCTTTTTGATCCAAACTAAGCTCAGGGAAATCAATTGCCTTTTCTTGGGAAGCTGATTTTTGGTCTGACCACCGACATACACTATGCTCTGCTTGAGCGTAAGATTTGTCATCTCCATTTTTCGATGTTGAATCACATTTGGTCAACTACTAATTGCAGCCGTTACCCACATAACTAGTCATGTGACCACACTACCAATGTCTTATTATACTATATGGCCAAGGGATATCTTATAATCTTAACATATTCTCTGGAAACCTCATAGTAGCAATTAGGTTACGGTAGTAAATCGTATATTAGACGCTGCTAAACGTCAAGTGCATGAAAATTATAAATTTTATGAATAATCTGGGGTTTCACCTATTATCATTGCTTTTTCAATGGGGTCCAGCTTTAAGGAAGAGGGTAATACCCTTTGGCAATGTATAATGCATAATTGAAAGCGCCTAAGATAGAGCCTACGAAAAACAATTTCCGGACCACTTCCCACAATGGTTGATTAAGGAATCTACTCGATTTTAGATGGCCCAGTAAGCAAAATATTGTCACTGAACAGACAATTAAATATAAGAAGTTGAAATAGTTAACGACCATTTGCAAAGTATGGACGCCAGCTTGGATGGCTATTTCCTTCCAAGTTGGTCGGTGAAGTTTCTTTCCTGGATCAACTCGATTTGCCTCTGCATGCGTGCTTGTGGTTATCTCGCCCACAAAGAAGTTTTTCCAAAGCTTTTTTAAAAGTGGATACTCAAAATCCTGATATACACTTAACAGAGTCATATATACTAAAAATAAAACGTAGACTAGGAGCACCAATGCAACTAAAAGTCTTAAGGTGGACTCACCTTTACTTCGCTTTAGGTTTTTTACTTGTTTTTCTATGTCCAGCATCATTTATGTATATGTCTTAACAGATTGTCACTGCTGTCAGCTCAATGTCTATGCTGCCTAAAGAGCAAATGACCTTAGCTTCTGTGTTGACGGAGGCTGAACCTTTACTTGAATTCGCTGCAAGATTCTAGTCATGTGATGTATAATAGACACGTGATTACATCGCTATTTGTACTGTCGTCTTAATATTCCCTGTTTACTGGACAGTCAAATGTAGAGGGCACTCCACAAGCGACACTTCCTCCTCAGGAAGCACAGGGTCACTCGGATGACTACCCTTTAGTGACAAGTGCTTTCCTCTATTTTAGCGCCCTATTGTGGGCCAATTTTCTAATTTCTTTTATCTGGATTTTAGCGTGATTCATTTCGGATTTAATTCTTTTTTTTTTTTTTTTTTTTTTTTATCTTGCTGTGTTAAGGTTTGCTTATCGTAATCCCTACTGTGGTGGCAGGTGGAGCATTGTGATTCAGAACATCACGTAAAGGGCAAATCAAAGTACTATAGTAAATAAGAGGATCAGAGTCTTATGAAATAGTGATTGAGAGAATATTTAGGCACAGTAGCCACAGGAGGAGAATGTAATTGGCAGCTTTTGACGTGCTAATTAAACATTGTTAAGCCCAGGCACATGAGCTCTTAGGCTATTATCGGAATCCAGAACCAGTTGACCCTTCAAAAAGAAACAAAGGTAGATATCCACAACATTGTTCCCGCAAATTTCTTGACCGAACTCATTCCCTCTAAATTTTCTTACAATATCTCTATAGTGAATGGATTAAAAATTAATTATTAGATATTATAGCAGTTACGCTTATACAGATTATAGAATTATATACGATAAAAAATTACTTAGTAGCAGTAGTTGGCTTGTTAAATTTAGCCAAAAGCTTCTTGAAGAAATTGTTCTTCTTAACTTCCTTGCTAACCTTGTCAGATGATCCTGCAACTTCCTTCTTAGCTTCAGCTTCGGTTTCGGCTGGTTCAGCAGTAGCAGCTTCTTCAGTAGCGGGGACTTCTTCGGTGGCGGCTTCTGGTTCAGCAGTTAAATCCTTAGATGGTTCAACAATTTCTTCCTTAACTTCTGGTTCAGTGGCTTCGGCTTCAGCTACAACTGGTTCAGCCTCAGTTTCAGCTGGGACTTCAGTGGCGGCAACTTCAGGTTCAGCTGCAACAGCTGGTTCAACTTCACCTTCAACTGGTTCAGCAGCAGCGACTTCACCTTCAACTGGTTCAGTGGCAGCAACTTCTTCAGATTCTGGCTTGACTTCAGAGATGTTTTCCTTAGAGTCGGAGGTGAAAATCTTAGAGGCTCTCTTTACTTTATCCTTAATACCCATTGTGTGTGCGTGAGTGTGTGTATGTTTAAATTAATTAGTATGTTTTACTACTTTGAAAAAGAAAAGAAAAAACTATATTACGAAATAATAATTAAAGGATTTCTCTTCTAATAAATAAGGGAAAGAAAAGGAAAAAAGAAGAAATAAATAAACAAAAAACTTAACGTTACCAGGGCGGAGTCTCCCTTATATAGTAATTAAAATTTTGCTGTTGGTGTTGTGTCGCAAATCAGTAAGAGGATTTTCTAGGGCTAACAATAGTAGGTGCATGACCGTGCGCGAAAAGCAGCCGTATCCTGCAGAAGGGACGTTAATTGTTTCCTCTGGTGCTCTAAAAAAAGATTTAATAGGGAAAAAATTTATAGCAAAAGGCAGGTAGTGCGGCCAGTCCAGATACTACAGAAGTACGGAAGTTGACATGTAGACTAGCCCAAGAAAACATATACCAGATAAGAGCATTAATAGTGTACTGAAGAAAGATACAAGTGACTCAGTGTAGTTTGAAATGTGATCGTCAGATACATGAGTTGGTATTTATTTTTTTCTTATTTTTTTCTGGAATTGTCGTGTTATTTTTGACGACGGCGCGTATCCAGCCGTACCAGCCGTGCAGTTTGGCGTGTTTCCACGGTAATTCTGGATGAAACGAGAGGGCAATGTCATAATAGAGTGGAAGAAAACAAACAAATAAATGAAAAAAAAAAAAAAAAAAAAAAAAAAAAAATAGTGGTTCCTGAAGAATTCATATGTAAGCTATCGTATCAAATTGAGACCCATCGAGACGAACCTTGCTGTTAGAATGTGATTTGGTCAACACCTTGATAAAAAAAAAAAGAAATGGAAAAAATCTTAATTAACAGGAGGGTTTGTCCAGTCAACTTGAATACTGTGAATGCTGCACTTAATGCACTTTTGACGTGGGTTTGGGTACATGTTCATGACTGAGCCCTGTAGGCAGTTAATAATCCAGCTACGCTTATGTAGAGCGTATCTCACCATTAGCTGGATAGATACCATTCGAATTTGCAAACTAAGTTTCATAGTTGACGATGACGTGACGAAAAAGAGCGCTAGGTACATCGTCACACTGGTATGGGTACAACCAACAACCTGTATAATGCATCGAACATTTTGAGAGAAGAAACTAATGAAAAATATTCCACAAAGAACATACCAGCTATGTAAGAACTGCCAGTGCAGTTGGTAGCATCCTAATAGTCATAAGTATAGTAGTAAACGTAACATGTAGGAATCGTAAGAAATGTGTTAACCAACAGAGCCTCTCTGAGTATTTTTTCAGTTCCTAGCACAGCGCTGCAACAAGCCCTACAGTAGGCAATGCCTTCTCATAGAACAAAAGGGATTTCCAAGACTCTGCCCCTGCAATATTTTGATATGTTTCTATTCTTTCAGTATCTAGTTGATACCCACGCAAAAGCACTTCTGCCCAGTTATCCAGTCTAGTTCCTAAGCTTGGTTATCATTAGCAGGAAATGGTGTAAGGTTCCTGCATAAGACAATTTGAACCAAGAGCATAAACAGTACAGCTAGAGAAATACGACTATCACCAAAGCCAGGGACTCGGAGCTAACCAGGAACTAATGCCCATTTCTCTCTCTCAGCTCTTTTAGTCTATTGCCCTTATCCGGTGCTCCAATGCAGTGCACCTGGTTACTTTAACCGTACTATGACCACATTTTAACCGACTTATCTACAGGACTCAGATCCCAATTCTGTAGGGCGCTCCTGTCGTGTGTGGTGGCTCTAGCAACTGTGCTGTTCCTGCATACTCGGGCTATTGCACATCTCGTAAAAAAGGATCTCTATAACACCACCCCCTGGAGTCACCACTTCAGTCAATATTTCGAGCCTCTTCCAAAGAAATATCTCCATATCACCACATTGACATCACCACGTCAAACACGACCCAAGATTCATCCTTCTTACATACCGATTGCCTTTTGCAACGTCCCAGATATTGTGTCTCCTCTTGAAACACTTGCCTAACCTGCGCAAGATGAAACCACCGCAGCCCTACTGTGGACTGCACACAACATTGCTGATTCAGCTCCCACTAACCGCATTTCTCACGCTTGTTCCTGTACGCCGCCTCTCAGAACAGCACAATCGTTGTCTCTTCCCTATTTTGTCTGCATTTGGAAAAAATTCTAGGGCGCTGCCTTGAAATCAAACAGGAAAGAAGAGAAACTCACCAGAAACACACCGACCTCCCACACAACAACAGCACTCGAAACGCCGTCTATTTCCCACACTCATGCGATCTTATCTCTTTGGTGATCTCTTATCAAGTACAGCAGTCCTCCGCTATGATTGCTATTTTACCTTCCCTACCTCTCACTGGCCCTCTACTTGCATGCTCCCTTCCCTTACGTAATCACCTTGTCTTCTTATAGCGTATAGATAAACGTAATAAAATTTATCAGCGGTTTCTTTTTTTTTTCCTTTTTTTTCTCTTTGTGTTTGAGCCGAACTGCCAGTCTGAATTGCGAAACGCATTACCAAAAAAAAAAGATTACGGACCAGCAAACACTTCAATCAGACACACATTCATTCACCCTCTTTTACTATACGGTAGTAAAGGACTAGCATTCATACTGTCAGAGTTACACAAAGGTGGCTCCAAGTAGAATACTTTTTAGGAATTACAAAAAAACACTGAGAAGAAGACGGACTTAGAGTATATCCACCGTTGATCAAAAATTTCTCCTCGTTCTCTTCTGTTTTTTTACTTTATTTGCTTTTGTCATCAAACACAAGCACATATCGACACACAAAGAATACGAAGTATATCTGTTTTTTGAATAGCTGTAGACACAAGAGTTTGGCTTAGAGACATAGGATATATATTCAGAAGCACTTACATCAACACATTTCCACTTTTGAACTGAACTTATCATGGACTTGAGGGTAGGGAAGAAATACAGAATTGGGCGTAAGATTGGATCTGGATCCTTCGGGGATATCTATCTCGGCACCAACATTATATCTGGGGAAGAGGTTGCCATCAAGTTGGAAAACACTAAGGCCAAGCACCCACAGTTGGAGTACGAGGCAAAGGTCTACAAGGCGCTCAGTGGGGGAGTTGGTATCCCGTTCGTTAGATGGTACGGTACCGAATGTGACTATAATGCCATGGTTATCGATTTATTAGGACCAAGTTTGGAAGATTTGTTCAACTACTGTAACAGAAAATTCACCTACAAAACCGTGTTATTGTTGGCTGATCAGCTTATCTGTCGTATTGAGTATATTCATGCTCGTTGTTTCATTCATAGAGATATCAAGCCGGATAACTTCTTGATGGGAATTGGTAGAAGAGGCTCCCAGGTCAATGTCATTGATTTTGGTTTGGCCAAGAAGTACCGTGATCCTAGAACCCACTTGCACATTCCTTATAGAGAAAACAAGAATTTGACTGGTACTGCCAGATATACATCAGTGAATACGCATTTGGGGATCGAGCAGCTGAGAAGAGATGATTTGGAATCTTTAGGTTATGTGTTGATATACTTCTGTAGAGGATCATTACCATGGCAGGGTTTAAAGGCCGCTACCAAGAGACAAAAGTACGATAGAATTATGGAAAAGAAGATCACCACTCCTAACGATATCTTAACCCAGGGCTTACCAAGAGAATTCTTGGAATACATGAATTACATCAAGACCTTGAGATTCGACGATAAACCTGATTACCTGTACTTAAGAAAGATATTCAGAGATTTATTCAAGAGAGAGAACTACCGTTATGATTACGTGTTTGATTGGACTTTGTACAAGTTTCAACAAGAGAAGCAAAGAGAACAGAACAAGGTTGAAGGCGGAGAGCAACAATCTTCGACTCCACAAGTTTCGCAACAGCAAGTTTCGACATCGCAACAGCAACAACAGGGTCAGCTCCCATCGGCTTCGCAGGTGCAAGCTTCGCGTGTGCAGCAACCTTCTCAACAAATACAAAGTCAACCATCTGGTGGCCAGACTGGAGGACAAGGGTACAATGTGGACTCTCGTATCTTGATGCAAATGCCGCTTCAGGATGCACTCCAAGCTCAATCGCAGCAGCAACAGCAGGTAGGTGGAGATGGCCTCAAACAGGGTAGTCCTATGTTATTGCAGCAAAGGAAAGTTCAACCATTAAGAAACTATCCAAGTCAACAGCTGCAACAATCTCAACCCCAACATCAACAACAACAACCTGCTGCACAGAACAATACATGGATCTAAGGGTATCTCATGTACTACAAATTGGCACATATCGGAAATATTATATACATATATAAACAAATAAACAAGAAAGAAAGAAAAAAAAAAGGAAAGGTAGAAGAGCATATTGTAAGCAAGGTGGAAGCAATTTATTCTGATATATACATTAAAGTTAGTCAACGTTCTCTTGAGGCGCAGCACTAGGCTCCCTCTGTTTTCTCTCACCCTTTGACTTCAATGATTCGCTTTCGAAGACAGCACCTAAAAAGTCGAAGATGTGTCTACCTTCCTTGGTATCACCGTTACCCTTGAAAGTATCGATAAAGCCAAAGAATCCGTAGAATACGTTCTCCTTGACCTCTTCACCGTAGATCTTGTCGTAGATGTATTTCATCTTAAAGGCATCCATCTCCTTTTGGTACTTGGAGAAGTCAATGTGATTATAGCCGAATTTTTCTAATTGGGAGTTGTAGCCCTCGTAGACTGGGGCTTCCAACAATAATCCAAGAGCAGGAGCTTTTGGAATATTGATCTTGGTAGGGCCAAAGGCATCGGTAATTCTGGTCAATGGGCAACCAGTTCTAACGACAAGAACTGCCATTGCAATCATTTTACGGATTTGATGCAACATGAACGACTGACCGTGGATCTTGATCGAAACCCATTCAGTACCTTCAATAACAAAAGGGTCGCTGACTGTGGTGAGCTTCATGAATCTTCTGGCAGATGGGTCTTTAAATGTCTTTCCTAAGGTAAAGTTATGGAAGTTATTAGACCCCTCGTACTGTTTCATTGCTTCTCTAAAGAGGTTCAATCTTTCTGTGGAAACATGGTACAGTCTTCTTCTTTTGTTCTCTAACTGCTTTACCGATTTGATGAGCTTTCCAGCTTCGGTGATGTTTCCCTCTGAGTCATAAGCTTTGAGTGAGTCCAATCCTACAAGCTCAGGTCTCTCAATAACCTTGCCGTCCTGATCTAAGTTATTGTTTGGGTTTTGGGCTTCCAATACCAGCTGCGCCTTAGCTAAATCTTCTTCAGTAATCCCATTGTCTAAAAGGTATTTGTGGGTCTCTTCCCACCATGTATTACCTTCTTCATCAGATCTTATGACATCAGGGTGCTCTTCCTTTGCCTTTCTTATCAATTCAGATAAAATGGTCTTAGGCTTTGGAGGTAACAAGGTATAAGTGGGCAACAAGTACTCATAAATTCTCAGAGAGCACATTTTCCTACAGTCGAATGACTTGTTGGTTCTTTCTATACCCCATACACGAATTTGGTCTGGCAATTCTGCATTGATCTTCTCCAATACATCATCATCTTCGATGATCAACTTAGCAGAGACAACGTTCCCGGCAGCATGTACACCCTTGTCCGTTCTGGCAGCTCTCATGAACCCATTTTTCTTCAAGTCGTCGGCGTTGTCCTTGGAGATAGCACCAGCAGCAACAAAGGCCTTGAACAAGTCCCCCTCGATAGTTTTCACATCGGGGTTGGGATTTTGAATTTGCATACCGTTGTACCCAGTACCACAGTATCCGATCATACAAGCAACCTTCTTCTTTGGACGTCTCTCTGATTTTGGAAGCGGGTTCCCATTCTCATCTAATCTTTGAGTGAATTCCCTAAAGTACGTTAGTAAATTGAAAGAGTTTTGAAAATTATTTAGAATAAACTATAAGCTAACTGGATACACCGCACACAGATTTCGGTGGGGTCTATACCTCTCGCACCCAGTTGCCTGGAAGCATTACATACTGTACTTTATGTTCTCTTTGCCATTCCTTTCTTGGACGTTTAGTATCCTCATCCCTTTTATCGCCCTTACGCGTACGAGCCCACTTGTTCTGTTGGCCACGCTTGTAAACAGATTCGTCACCTTCGTCAACATTGGACTTGGTGGAATCGGATTTTTCAGCTGTAGCAGTGGCAGCTGGCTCGGCAACAACGGTGGGGATAGCTTCCTCGGGCATTGCAAAAAAAAGCTTTTAAAGGTAAAAGTGGTATGATGATGTCAACACTGGCGAAAACAACGAACTATACTATATATATACCAGAAGCCATAAAGACTTACCACTGAATGAAACTCTGCTGCTCGAGGCCAGGCATGCCATGCACTGGGACAGGCTCATCGCAGAACATCTGCATAGGTCACCTGATCTTGATCACCTGACTGAAAAATCTGAAAAATTATCCAAAAAAATGCCTGGTGCGATGAGTTCAGTTGCACCAAAGACGGTACTTGATTCCACCCACTTGATAGCAGTTCTTTCAAGTTTTGGTCCTTAAGTAGCTTCTTACACATACATAATTCCACAATGAGACCTTTGACCGAAGAAGAAACCAAGGTTGTTTTCGAAAAACTCGCTAACTACATCGGAAGAAACATATCATTTCTTGTAGATAACCAAACCAATCCTCATGTCTTCAGATTGCAAAAGGATAGAGTGTATTACATCCCAGACCAGGTGGCCAAATTTGCCACTTCTGTAGCTAGACCACAATTGATGTCAGTGGGAACATGTTTCGGGAAATTTACCAAGACTGGCAAGTTCAGATTACACATCACCGCATTACCGTACATGGCCCAATACGCCAAGTTCAAGGTTTGGATTAAACAAAATGGTGAGATGCCTTTCCTTTACGGGAACCACGTTTTGAAGGCACACGTTGGAAGAATGTCCGACGATATTCCTGAGCATGCTGGTGTCATAGTTTATTCTATGAGTGACGTCCCATTAGGGTTTGGTGTTTCCTCCAAGTCTACCAATGAAGCCAGAAACTTGCAGCCCACGGCTATAGTGGCATTTAGACAGGGAGATATTGGTGAATACTTGAGAGAGGAAGATACCTTGTTTACCTAAGCTGGGTATGTGGGCGATATCAGTAGGTGTATGGAAGAACAAAGGATAAGAAAGATGGCCGGGGTAGCGATGTAGCCAACAGGTAACGCATGCGCATGCCCATCGCTGCATTTTAGATCTCTCGACTAGTGTTGGCGGGACCATTCATGTAATTTAGTGCATAAATAAATAAAACTTTAACGAAGTATATGTAGAGTGGAAGTGGTTAAATTAGATTGCTGTAGAGTGATGAAGTAGAGTGGAAGTGGGTAGATCAGATTTCTGTAGAGTGATGAAGTAGAGTGGAAATGAGTGGATCAGATGTCTGTGGAGTGGAGAAGTGAAGTGGAAATGAGTATATCAGATGCCTGTAGACTGAAGATGAAGTAGCAACTCAGAGTAGGTAACTTCAAAGTTTAGGTGGCTCGGTGAAAATGTCTGTAATCGGATGTGTTCATTACGCTTCTATTGACTATTTACATATTTAAAATTATTGGTATGGCCTATTATGGAGAGGGGATGCCCATGCTAGAAACTAAAGTTGGTAACATTGACCAATCCTCCAACATTTCCTGATGTCAAGGTGTACAGATTGTGCACAGCCTTTTCAAATACATCGTCCCCACTCAATTCAGCTTCAGCGGTTGCTTCTCCAGCCTTTGGTTTCCTTGGGTAGTCTCTCAATTGTAACACACCTGCAGATTCCCAGAACTCGATCAAGTCTCTTGTTTCGTCCTTGGTCAAATTGGCCAATTGGTAAGTTCTGAGCCCACCATTCAGCAAAAGGCCGGAAGCAACGTCGTAGTCACATTCGGCAGTGGTGTAGTAGGGGTCATATTCTTCTAATCCTAAGCCAACGTTCAAGGTGTGGGCACTGCTGTTGTCCGAGGACTCAGCCATCAAAACACCACCTCTAGCGAAGGACACTTCTCCTGAGAGAACTTGAACGAGGAAAGAGCCCATTTCGAATTCGGTTAAGTGGATTGGGGTGTAGTCTGGGTGGAAATATTTGGAAACTGTTTCATTGACTACAGCGTTGACGTTGTCAACGGTGACAACTACTGGCACGTTAGCAGAATGGTGCTGCAATTCCTTTACAAAGGTTTGGAAAGCAGATGTTGGGCCCACTTTACCGAAGTCGTGGTTCTGCTCTACAAAGTCCCACACTGTGTTCTCACCGCTCTTCAATGTGGTCTTTTCCTTCTTCTTATTGATAAACGTTACGTCTTGGGACAATGCAAGTTGCTTGAGAACCTTCTCGTTGGCCTTACGGAACGCTATTATCCATCTCTTGGTGAACATTGGCTGTTGGTATTTGTTCAACTTGGGGTTAAATATGTAGTCCAGGGTACCGTTGGTAACAGCGTCCGGGTGGTCGAAATGGAGCAAGATCACGTTGTTCTGGGCCTGTGAGAGAGCCAATGCTTGTACTTGAGTCATGAGGGTAGATTTACCAACTCCCTTTTCTCCAATAAGACACACTCTGTTGGCAGACGATGGGACTGCAGACTCAGCTTCTTCCCCATTGCCTACGGCCCTTTGCACAAATTCTTCGTAGAGTGCTCTGGTATTGTCAGTGATCATTGATGTGGGCTGGCTAAACATCTCGTGGTACTGGAACTTTTTAAAGGACTTGAGAGCAACAAGCTTTTCCATGGTGGGGGCATCGTACTTGACGACACTCTGCTGTTGCTCTTCATCGACGAGGGCCTTGGCGTTCAACGTTCCCAAGGCGAAATTGGCCTCGTTCAAGGCTGGCGCATTCTTTTCATAGCCTAGTTGCCTCACAGCATCTCTGAACTTCAAATGGGTCATTCCTGCCTTTCTGGTCTTGGTTTTGGTTGGATCTCCCTTCTTCTTGTTTCCAAACCCTTGCTTGGCTTTATTCTTTCCTCCTGGAGGAGCTGCCTTAGCATACAAGCCAGAAAACGTCGAAAACTGCGACGCACGCACAGGGGCACGAACTAGGGGCTGTCTGAGCGCAAGTCTAAGCATGATAAACTTCGGAATATGGTACTTTAGGGTGTATATCTGGTGCTACAGAAAAGTGCTTTCATCTGGACAATTTTTCATTAGAACTGAAAATTTTGAATTCGAGGATCCATATGCAGGATCGATCAGAGTGGTTTTTTTTTTTTTTTTTTTTTTTTTTTTTTTTTTTTTGGATGTTTTTTTTTTTTTTTTAGGGGTTTTTAGAGGCACCAAAAAAATTTTTTTTTTTATAAACAAAATAACTGGATTTATTTGAAGATTGTT